TTTTACAAAAATGTTAAACTCTAGAGAAAAATGCGAGGTATCATTTTAATTAATGTTTGACACGAGTAGATAATATTTAACGTAAAAAACTATATGTTCCACTGTTCAAATTTTAAAAAAAAAAAAATTATATGTTCTCTGTACTATGTTACAAAGAGATTAATTTCTACCGAAGTAAACACTTGTGTTTAATTGCTACAGTTAAAAACATTTAAAATTCAGGAGCATAGTGCGAGGCACCATTTTAAATTTTGACAGGAGTACTCATTTTTTTGCAATTTTTTATTTTTAATAAAATTGCTCATTGTAATATTGCACGAATCACCATATTCTTATGTTTTAATACAGTTTTCTTATAAAATTTAAGACTGGGGAGCAGTCTGTAAGACATAATTTTAATGTTCGGCACAAGTAAGAGTTAATGTAAAAAACTGAATGTTCCGCAGTGCAAATTTTATTTATTTATTTAGGTATTCTTTATAGCTGTGCTTCCCAAAGTGTACGTGTACCCCCAGGTGTACAGGAACAGCTTAGAGGGGGTACGCGTTCTTATGCGAAATATCTTGCAACAAACGAAAATTTCCAGAAATTTTATTTAAAAACAAAGTTAGCCATGAAAATTTACGATTACCTATTTTTCTATCGGCTATTTTTTGCAGAGTTAACAGTTAATAATTAGTGGTGTCAACAGCCAGTTGCGATTTTTAAATTTTGTGTAATTTTTTTATACTAAAAAATCCATTCAATTTTTTATAAGTGGTACACAGCGTTACGAAAAATTTAGAAAGGGTACACAAAAGTCATAAGTTCGGGAAATACTGCTTTATAGTATTACATAAATTGCCCTATTTAAACCAAAATTATATTCTTAAGTTTGACTACCAATTTTAGAAAATGTTAGACTTTGGAAAAAGTATGAGGTATCATTTTGAAACTTGATACAAGTGAGTTATATTTTAACGAAAGAAACTAAATGTTCCATCGTGATAATTTTTTTTTAAATATTTTTATTTAAATTTTAAATGCGCGAATTTTAAATGTGCAGTGCGGAAAAAAAATTATCGTATACAAATTTGGGTTTATGTAGCAGATTGATAAAACTCTTTTACCAGGTATGTATAGCATATAATAACTTTTGATCTATTGATCGGAACTTCATATTCTAGGAGTCATTCTTAATGGTCTGTGATTAATTAAAACAATTCTTACATCATTTTTAAGAATGTGATTTTAAATGGCAAAATACAAAGTTTCAAAGAAATTGGTGGAAAAGTTTTTGAGAAATCAAATTTTAAGTATCGGACTTTCTTGAAAATTCTATTTCTCAGAACTGTTCTATCAAATTCGCTTAACTTTTGTATTTTGCAATGTAAAATTAAATTTTTTAAAATCATGTAAAAAATTTTATACCTTATGATTCAAAACTTTTTAGATTAATTTTAAATAAAATAATAAAAAATAATAAATAATAACTAAATTTTTTTCATGTAATTATCTTTGGATAAACAATATTGTGTGCAAAGATTTTTTAATTCACATAAAAAGTTTTCGAGTTATTGCCATCGTTATATTTTGCCGTTCGAGTTATATTTTGGGGGTCAGATATACGAATTCGTTAAAGAAGAGGTACATTTATTCAGAGAAAGTACGTTTTTGTGTCTGATTTCATAACTTAAAGTATCGTTTGATCTAATTAATTAGCATATTTGAAGTCACCCCCTTGAACTATTAAGATGGTGTCCGAAAACGTGAAAGTTTGATCGTTGGATCAAAAAATTTTCAGGGTAATATGTTTTTTTTTTTTTTTTTTTTTTGCTTNATTTTTTTTTTTTTTTTTTTTTATTTCGCGCACTGTACTATGGTACGAAAAAATAAACTTCCACTAAATTAAAATTTTATATTTTACTATTATTTTCAAAGAAATTTAAAACTCGGGAGCATAATATAAGGTACCATTTTAAACTTTGCCACGAGTAGGTTATATTTTAAGTAAAAAATCAAATTTTCAGCAATGAAATTGCTTTAATTCTTTTGTTTTTTTAATTTTCCCCGTACTATGGCTAAAAAAGTTATATTTCCTTCAGAAAAATCTCGTTTAATTGCTATTTTCAAATAAATTTGTAACTCAGGAGAATTGTAATGGGTATTATTTTAAATAATGACACGAGTAGATTGTATTTAACATAAAAAAATTTTATTCATGCTTTGTAGCATCACGGGAATTACTGTGTTTACACCAAAAGTTAACTCGTTTGACTGTCATTTTTAATTGAGACACAAGAGCAATGTGAATGGTACCGATTTGAATTTCGATAGGAGTAGGTAATATTTATTTAAAAATGCAAATGCTCCTGCTCAGCAAATTTCTAATGTGTCTATAGTGGCATTACATGAAGGGCCACATTTTTACTAATAGTCACACTTATGTTTGACTAACATTTTTAGAAACTTTAAAATTATTTAGAAAATATATAGAACCCTTTTAAAGTTTACCACGTTTATGAAGCATTGTTTAAGTACGTTTATGAATCATAGAACACACACGTCTATGAAGCATTGAACATGCACATTTATGAAGCATTGAGCGTGAAAAATTAATTGCTCCGGGATCCAAACATTTTAATTGTTCACTATAGCATAACATGAAAGACCACGCTTCTAGAAAAGTAAACATTTAAATTTTGACGCAAGTGCACTGTAAAAAAATTTCGAGTTCCTTAACCCCATAAACGGTTACAACAACTTAGACCAAAGGGGTGTTCCACTAAGTGCTCCATTTCACTAATAATGTTCTATTACACTACTTGGTGTAAAGTAATCGTAACTTTTTTTGTATTCAGTCGCACAAAAATTTTTTAATTTTAGTAAAAAAAGATGTACATAATAGTAAATAAATTTATTATTACGATAGAATGTAACAAAAATTATCAAATTAGAATGATATATACACACTAATTTTCCAAATAAAATTAGTTAGTTAATCAAACTTATGAGTAGCGCGGAGATAACATAAAGACGAACTCGGGCAAGACTTTACGGAATGGAAGCTTGTGGAAATTATACATGTTAAAATCACTTAATACAGTTCAGATGGATTTAAAAATTAAATACAATTATCCTTATTACACAATTAAAAACAGACTTACCTATTTTAACGACGAACAACAAATCATAACAACAAAAACTCTCGCCGATTAATTCTCGATTTCAAGCGCTAACTTCTGGCGATAAAAAAAAAAAAAAAGCTCGCCAACACGTCGATTTTTTTTGTAGAGTAAATAATTCTCGTTTTGTGAGAATGAGTAAGAACTCGGGGTAAGCTAATGCTAAGTGTTTAGAATTAAATTACACACCTTTAAATCGTATATTAACTCTCGATTTTCTGTTTACCCGAAATAAAGTATACCTTCACACAATTTTTTGGGTTTTTCAACTTCATATTCTGAGAGATATTGCTTCACAATTTTAACAGTGTAGGTTGTTAAATTTTCTGCGGTGCAATATTTTTAATAACTGCTTTAAATATCCTTCATAGCATTACAGGATTTGCCATACTTGCACCAAAAGTAAACTCGTTTACTCTCTCGAATAACAATGTTGGAAAAATTAAAGATTCAAAAGCAATGCGTATGGTACCAATTCGAATTTTGAAGCGAGTAGATAATATTTTACACTACAAATTAAATTTTTGTGGTGCAAAATGTTTTAATATTAGAGCACGCACTGTCGCATTGTGAGAAATACTGAATTTCGAGTCAAATAAACGCATTCGGAAAAAATTTAGGGCCCAGAAAGCAAGGTTAATGAAGCCTTTTCAAATTTTGTTTCGAGTGAAAAATATTTAACACAAAAAATTAAAATTGGCAATATTATTAAACAAAAAGAGCATTTACAATAAAATAACAATATTTAACACATTATTTCGCCGTTAAAATAAATGTAAGAGATTTTTCTGCATGACTCACTTCCAAACAATAATTATTCAAATTTGCTCTTATTTGAAGTTATTAACATCTAAGAAAAATAGTTATTCATTATGAGATTTCTTTAATTTACAAAATGAATTACCAATTAATTAATTAATTTTCGGATATGAGTAAAACGAAAAATTTTATAACTATTTTTTGGATTTTATATTTTAATACAAAAAATTTCCAATAATCTAACAGATTTCTTTTATTAACTATTAGCCTGTTTAATGTAATTAAAAAATATCAAACTATATTTTGCTTGTAATTAGAGGGTCAGAAAATATAAATATAAACGAGACACCGGTGTCCTATCTGCTCAAAGGGTTAAAAGCAAAATTTAAGAAGCGGGACCATAATCTAAGTTGCCTAGTTCAAGTTTGATATGTCTAATACTAGTAATGCAAAAATTAGTCTTCATACAGTTAAAAAAATTTTAAATAAATTTTTCAAGTACTCATTACTCTATTTTCAGAAAGACGAAATTTCAGGGTCTACACTTATGTATGTCGGCTAATTTTAAAAATATTCATGATATCAATATGATTACCAGCGTTTTGAACTAAATTCTTTAGAAAATTTTAACTATACCGTGTAATAGAACTAAATATATTGTTCAGTATTGATATTTGAACAAAAAATACCAAACATTCTTACATGAAACATTATAAAAATAATAAATTCTTACTTAGACCTTAGCTTTTAGTTCAAAACATAGCTAGCATTTTGCAAAATATACATAAGTTTCAAAAATTTCAATGTAAATTTTTTTCGAAATCTGTTTTAGCTTAAAGATATATTCTAAAAATCAAAAGAGAAAATCAATCATTAGGAGGTTAAATTTCAATTGGCAAAAAATCTCGGTTTTTATAGGCCATGTAAATAGGCTATGTCTGTACATTGTATTGTTAGACCACTAAAGAACCAGTTGTACCAAATTTTGTTTTCAAGATTTGATTCTCACAAACGAAAGGACACATAATCGAGTTAATCAAAATGTTCTAAATATAAATTAGCAAAAAAGACAAAACATTTATATCAAAATCATTTATTCCATTACTAAGACCGTACTACAATACACAAAACTATGGCGATATGCAATCCTTAACTGCATCAAATCAACATTTTCACATTTGATATCTGTGAAACATGGCAGAAACAATGAAAAATTAAAAGAGATCTCTGCAAAATAGTTAAAAATAAGCAATAATTTCAGAAACATTTCTTTTTCAAAATCACCAGTCCATCGAATAAGGTCTGTGTTTATCATACAAAGATTCTTCACTGTTTTCATCTTCGTCATTTTCCACTTCGTCCTGCAAGACATTAAAATTCATATTCTGCATTACCAAAAGCTATTCTGAAAATCAAAACATAAGGAGCATACACTTTCTGGCATATTACATATTTCGGTGCATATTTCGAAATGCGTGTTTGGAGAAAAATGGAGACAGCTCAAAATGCTTGTTTAAGAAAATGGAAGCAAATAAAAATGCGCGTTTTAGAAAATGGACATAGCTCAAAAGCGTGTTAAAGAAAATGGATACAAGTGAAAATGCATGCTTACTAAAATGGACAGAGCTAAAAATGCTAGTTAAAGGAAATGGACACAGCTCAATTTGCATGCTTAAGAATATGGTCGCTTTTGTCACCACATTTTTCTTCATTTAATAAATAAGTTAATATAAAATTAATAGCTTCATCATATATGTATAAAGTGTGTTACCAAAGTATGTTTCATGTTTGTCAATGAAAACTATGTTGATTAATTTTACAAGTTCTGAAAAAAAAAATTCTTAAACCCTTCCTTCTCGCTCCCGTGAAAATGACGGGGTGAGGTTTCGCCCTCTATTTCTCGCTCCCGTGATATTTCCGGGCTGGAGTGTTCAGTAGTAACGTGCCAATAAGAATAAAACGAACTCATTTCTTCTGCCGGGAAAACATTTTATTTCTCATTCTACACACCAGATGGCAGTACCAGGATATTTTTAAGGTAATTGTAAATAATTTATTTTAAACTAAATGTCAGCACTAATCAATTTTCAGGTATAAAAAAATAGGCACTTTTATGACAGTTTTCTTAAAAAATAACAGATTGTTAAGGGGTTAAATTATGTCCTATAGTCTTGTATAAAAGACTTTTTGAAGAATCAATTATGTGATGATTAGTTTTCTTTCTAAAAATCAACCCTCTTCCAAAAATAAAATACTGATTTTTGGGGTAAAAAATACTGATTTTCAAAATGCTGATTCCGTCGTGAAACCACATTATTTTTGACGAAATGCGAACTTGAAAATATTTGACGAAACTGTCTTCTCACCAACATTTTTTTTAATTTCAGTTTGAAAACCCTCTCTTTTACGTAGAATGCCATAGTATAAGTTATGCGCACTCGACGAATCTTCATCCTTGGTAAAAACTATTGTGTATTAACGTTGCACACATTCCAGTTTTTTTTTTTTTTTTTTTTTTTTTTTTTTTTTTTTTTTGAAGCAAGTAAGTTAAAACGAAGCATATTTTTGCATTCCTAACTGGGTTTTTTTAAGTTATTTTTAGATATATTCAGATGTGTATACTAACTTGATAACTATTTCTTCCTTTTGCTGGTAAAAGCTCAAAAGCGGCTGGTTCAGACATTTGTCCATACTTAGAAAAAGCATAGATGCTCAGATGTATTGGATGCTTCAAATCAAGTCCACTAATCAGAGCCTTTGTTCTATCTGGAGCGTACACAGATTCCAGTAATTGGCCATTTAAATAAACCTAAATAAAAGTTTAATTTTAGTACTTCAGTTTCAGTATAAATGTGAAAGATCGAATTAGTGATTGTTAATTTTCACCCTTGAATGTTAACAATCACATAGTCGCTATGGTAAAATTTGGAAATAAATGATTGATCTGATTAATATTAATTTATTCGTCGATGTTTAAATATTTTTTCGATATTTTTTATCTGATAAGGATAGTTTAGGATAAAAACCAGTATTGGGAAAACTGGAAAAGTGTGGGAACAATAACCGGTATTGTCTTCCCCACATGTTTTTTTTTTTTGTTTGTTAAGTTAAAATCTTTGACCAGTATACACTTGCACGGTATTTCCAACACTAATGTTTATTCAAAGTTAAGCGTTGCTGCTACGCTTTTAATTTTTTTAAACAGCAAACACTAAACATAACATTTATTACTGTTAAATAACATAGGAGAATAATTTTTGTTGCATTTATACAAACAGTTGATCTAACCTAATTCGGATGTGAGAGTTTCAAACCTGAAATTGGTTTTGCCCTAAAGCCACACATTTTTAATGACATTTTTGGTCTATTTTGGTCAAAATGTACAAGTTTTAAAGCGTTGTATATAAAAGAGTATCACGTAAATATTTCGACAAACTCGTTGATTAAGTTAGAGTAGAGCATCAGGATAAAAATTGCATGGGAAACCATGACGGAAAATGTTATCGTACGCTTCATAGTGAGCTTTCCTACTATGATCTGTTCAGAAAAACACAAAAAAACAGTTCATAGTACGGAATCTCCCTTAGTGGCATATGACGAAATTTCCAGACATAGTTTCTTATGCACTTTTATTTCTAATGACATGCTCTAACTTCCCTAAAAGTCTGTCACAACATTTATGTCACCTCCTTGTATATATAATGGTATATATAACGTTTTTAAACTGGTACATTTTGGCAAAAAATAGACCAAAACTGTAATTTTTTAAAAATATATAAAGTGGAGGACGAAACCGAAGAATTTGAAATCAGTGATGTGAAAATATCTAAGATTTATTCAAGAATCTTACGCAACAGAAAAAAAAAATTCCCTTGCATAATTAATTATTTTTCAACCATTTAGAATCTTTAAATTTGATTCTAAGATGTGATTCTGGCTAATTTCTCGACAGAAGCAATCAGAGTTTGGAATTTTTATGGAAGTTTCAAATAAGAGTGGATAAAACTATTTTAATCTACTCACATTTTGTACAATTATACCTTAGGCATCGACACATAATTGAAATATATTATGACGTAAATATTTACGATTCTCCGTCCTTACTTGCGAGACAATGCAGCAAAATCGCTTTGTTAAAAATATCCCCTTAGTTAGAAAAAATATAGACTTATAGACTTGATTACAGATAATTGTAAAATTTTATATATTTATAAGGACCAATGATCACAAAACTTTAAAAGCAATTTACTCAAAGCTATGTTTCTCTTGTTTTCTGTATCAATAACTACATTTTTATCACATTTTGCCCAAATTTTCACAAAAATATAGTCTTCGTTAAACGTAGAAATATTTTAATTAGGTTAACTGGTTATGAGTAACCAACAAAAACTTAATTTATTTTATTTCACTTTTATTTCAAGCTAATTTTCTAATCTTTTTTTTCTTCAAGATTGAAAAAAAAATCGTTTTCAATCAATAAATTAATTTTATTCAAAAAATCCTTCCCGCAATGAAAACTTTATTCATGTAGTTTAAAAGAATTAAAACTAAATCAAATTTGGATTATTCTCTTTCAACTTATGAGAACAGCATGTTATGGATAATTTACAAAAATTAGTTATATACATTGTAATTTTGTTGCTGACTCTTAAAAATGATAAAAAAATAATGATAACTGGAATAAAAATAATATTAAATAATATAAAATATTGTAAAATAATAATATAAAAAAGATAAATACTACCATAAAAATATAAACAATAAAAAAATACACTAACTTCAAAACCTTCTAAAATAGACGGATTGACATAATCCCAACCAACAAGAAGAGTGTCAGAACCAACTTGTTGAACGACACGAAAATTCATTGGACGTGGAAGTATCTCTGGAAATTAAGAAATATTTGATTTCAAATATTGTTTACTTGCAAATGTTTTTAACCTACGCCTACACAATTTGGACACTTGATAAATACATACTGTTTTTCAATAGAAATTTAATGTAATATAACAAGCACGAAATGTATAAAAAATATTTTTAAAAAATAAATTAAATATACTTAAAAAGATATGTAATAGAACATGCTAATTGATTTAAGTTAAATGTCTAATTTCTATCCTATAAATATAAAAGGAATGCTTCACTTTAAGAAAAATAATTTTTAAAAATGTTAATGCATGATCAAATGCAAAATAGAACTATGATTTATTTACATTTAAACGCCGTAATATTGGTTTAAGCATTCATTGTTTTCGTGTTAAAACATGCTGAAAGAAATGTACTACAACATGCTAATTGTTTTAAGTAAAATAAGTACTTTCTATCCTATAAGCGTTAAATAATTTCTTCACTCCTTTTAAAAACTATTCGATTTAATTTAAATTTCCAAATGCAAATTTGACTGATTTTTATTTTTCGTTTAAATATCGTGAAATTATCGTAGATTTTTCATTTATGCTTAAATGTCTAAAAATTATCGTAGATTATTTTTAGGCATTTAATATTATATGGATTGAACATTATATGGAAGAATATTTAGCTTAAGATCAAATTTGGGTCTTTGGGTTTTTAGTTTAAGATCAAAATTAGTTTTTTGCTTCCCTATTTTTATTCTTTTTTCTTGAAGTAAAAAATGGGGAAACAGGTTATCTGTTATGGAAACTTTAATCTATTAAAACAAAATTTTCATTTGTGCTCCACTTTACGTTGCATATTTAACACAAAGAGAGTGCTTGAATTTATGAATTTTTTTTTTATTATTATTATTTACGCTTGAAAAATTTTTAAAAAGACCTTTCAGATTTTACAAACTTCAAAACAAAAAATAAGTGGTCGTGTTAAATTATTAAAAAAACAGATGAATCAATTAAAATTTTATCTTTAAATTGATTCATTGAATTATCAAATTTTTTTTTTTTTCTATTATCGCATTTACCGTGCTTTGAAAGAAAAATTTCTTTTCCTTAAAAATAATTTGTGACTCCCAAAAATATAAATTTTTCCTCCTTATTTTTTATAAGATATTTAATGATATGTACAAAAGAAGGCAAAAACAAAATTTCAAAGAATAGTTAAAACTATGCATTTGTACTTCTGGTATAAAACTATACATTTGTATTCTGTATATTATTTTGAAAATTTTATTATTTTTACTTTCCCTAAACTATTTAATAATTTGAAAGGAATATGCTTATTTAAACTTTAAAAGTTATAAAATTTAGTAGGAGTACTAAATAACTTTTGTTTTGTGTAAAGCAATAAACATCAACTTACCGTCATAATCATTTTCTTCGGCAGCTGTTTGTTCATTAGGAACCTGTTAAATATTTCCAAGGTTAGATTTTTCCTATTTCTTTAATCTATATAACTACAAAATCAGCACAACAGACACGAGGAAAAACATGTAAAGCTTCCTTTTTAAAACATTCAAATGTTTCTATAGAGCCATAAATGCGGAAAAATTTATCATATTTATGGCTCTATAGAAAAACCACAAAGCGTGGTAAGTTTTACCGAAGCGGTTTGGTAATAAGTTTTGGTAAAATTAACAATAAAATGTGGTTTTTTTAACTGTGATAAAATTTGGTAAATATGGTAAAATTTAGTACTTTTATCATGATACCCTTGAGCATGGCATGAAAGACATTTATTCGGTAAAATTTAATTTTAAGTTTAGTATTTTCCCTAAATATGGGGCAATAAGAACTGCAATTTAGAAGAACAGAATTTAAATCATGGGAAAATTATTAATAGATATAATTTAGATATAAATAGGATAGAAAAATTATCAAATATTTGGTTTAAATACCGTATATTTTGGTTTTGTTACCAGAATTATGGGTAAATAACCAAAATTGCCACTACCATTCAATTACGGTAGTTCTGCCAGACTTTTTTTCTCTGAGTTTTATTGCAACACACTTGTACATCTTTAACTATTAACATTTGTGATTGATTCTGTTTTTTTTTTTTAAAAAACACAAAGTGCATCTTTATTATTTACAAAAAGAGACGTTTTTGTGAAATACATTAACAGTAATTTTCACGTAGAATAGTAGAGTACTATTCTACTTGAAAATTACTGTTAATGTATTTCACAAATCATATTATTTTCGTCACGTAGAATAATAGGTACAAATCGCAATGAATTATAAAATAAATAATTTCAAATACGATGTTAACGATAATTTTTGAAAATTTATATGAAGGAACTTAATTGTGGTTGTAAAAATAGTTGACATTTTTACAGTTTAGGCAATAACTTAAAACATTACTAGCACTCTTTTTTAAATTTTTGTGAATTGAAAATGCTTCAAATGTTACATACATATTTTCTTATATTTTAGTAGTAATATGTCCCTTACGGATACTTTATGTTATGAGGTTTAGTGACTTTGTATGCAAGCAGAAATATTAAAATTTTGAGAACAAGAAAAGATTTTGTGATTTGTAAGCAATAGAAAAGTATCACAAAATGTCAACAAGAAAATATTCAACTTGTAAGCAAGAGGAATTTTTATGATTTTATAAGCAACAGACTTGTTTGAGTTTTATAAGCAAGAAAAAGTTTCAAGAATTTCAAAGCAATATAAAAAAAATTATTTTAAAAAGAAGTTAAATATGTGAGTTTTTATCAGCAAGAAATAGTTTGTGTCATGCTAGCATGCAAAGCAAGAAAAGCTTTTGTAATTTTACCTGATTAGAAGATTTTGTGTTAGAAGAAAGTAGTGCTTTCATGCGAGTGTCAGTCTGTTCCTTTTTTAGTTTCTAATTAAAACAAAAAAGCAACAGCTAAAATTTAACTGATAGTTATCTCAACAACAATTGAGAAAATGAAACTTATCTTTATTCTCTTGTCGAGCAATAACTCCAGAATAAATAAGATAACTACAGAATGTGCTAAATTAGACAGACGGTTTTTAAAAATTTATAGCGGGAAAACCGTATTTAAAAAAATGAATCCTGAAGTAAATTTAGAAGTCAGGTTATAATTTTTTTCTGAAGAAAGTTTCTATTATTAGTATAAAATTGTTTCAACAGATGGCGCTGTAATTAGTAATACCACTGAAAATATAATATAAATGCACAGAAATGTAATAACACTGAAAATCAAACCACTTTTTTCTATGAATAATTAAATTCTTCTATCTTCGAAATGTCCGCCATCAATCGCAATCGCCTGTCATTGTAGGAGAACGAAATATAAATGCATCAAAGCACAACAATAAAAAACAGAAGGATGGAGGTATAGCACCATCTGTCTGAAACTTTTTGAACTAAAACCATAAATACTCCTTTTTTTTAGCCTTTGCTGTTTTCTTGTAAATAGTTTTTGATAACCATCAATTTAATTTAGAACACCCAGTAGATTTTGTTGGTTCTAATTGAATTACATTATTTTTTGGTTTTATATTATGCAAGTAGTTAAATTTTTCACAGGAGCGCTTTAAAATATATCAATATATATGGAAATTGTCAAGCTTTACTAATATATTTTCAAGCTTTACTGTTGTTTGTAACATCACTTCTCTGCTATTACAAAAATTAATCGTAATATCGACCTTTAAAATCACTGAAATGAAACCACAGAGCTCAAAAGACAATAGCTTGCAAGAAAAGACAACTTTAACAAAAATTGCCTTACAAAAAAAAAAATTATTTTTTACAGCTTAATTAATTTATTTTATTGAATTGGTCACTATTGCGCTTCAAAGCTGTAGTTATTAATTCCCAATTAGTCTGTAATCTTATTTTTCATGCCTAAACGATGGCATTTTTTTTTCACAAATATAATAACGAAAATATTAAAGAGAAATTAAATAATAATAATATAGCAAGGAAATATGATATATGTATAGAAATATGATATATGTATGTACATACCGACACATATTAAAAAAAAAATATAAATTTAAATTAAAATTACAATTTATATACCTCACCAAATTTACTTTGAAAAGCTAAGATGCAAAGAGCAAACTATACCGTATACTATAACTATAGATTAATATTCCAATGAAACGAATGAAAATGGTTATATTACTTTTTTTCGTATATCATTTTTCATGGCTGCCATAGCTCGCATCATACAGTCTTCTAAATTTTGCCGTGCACTATCATATGTATCTGGTAAATTAGGCGCTGATGACTGTAAAAACCACATACATAATTAAAATTATATGTTATATTCTAAGAATAAGTGTAGAATAATAATGATTAATGTTTTCTTGCTTAAACGTTTCAAAATAATTATAACTTGTTTAAAAACACTTTACTTAAAATATTATAAAAAATCAAAGTTCTAGTTGAAATTCTTTAACATCTGACATATTTATGGTCTTATTTAGAGTTTAAAAAAAGGAAAATATCAATTATAATTTAAATGCAAATACAACCACACTGTAAAAAATTCTGAATCAAATTACGGTATAAAGTACCGGCACTTTGGATGCGTTATTCGTAAAATCCATTTTACCGAAAAATCTATTTGTACCGTAAAATATTATACCGTAATTTTTACAGTAATATTTATTTAATTAAAAAGAGTCAGTGATTTTACAGTAATTATTATAAAAATTGCGGTATATCAGATTTTCTTTGCCCCGTAACATGTTCTAAAATAAATGAATTTTACAGTAAAAATACCGTTATCCTGAATGACAGTACATTTTATCTTATTTGACAAAAAAATTTTTTTACAGAGCATTAGTAACGCAACTATTATTTACCTTTCAATCTTAAATTATATCTAGGCATTATTAATAATTTTCACAGTATTTTCAAAGCTATCTAAAATGAATTTGATAATTACATTTATAACAAAAAACTCATCCCAAAACTAATTTCTGTTTCAAATTTTTTCAAACAGTGTCAGGAAGTACACTTTGAATTCACAAATTATTTTTTCAGCAATTTTTTTCCAAATCCCATTATCTTAAAGCATCGCAAAAGAAAGCAATATATTTTTAAGATCTTTTAACAAGTAGAATATGATAATAATTCATTTCCTTGAATACTTTCAGTAGCGATTTTTATTATTTTTACCATTGATTCATTATATGTTCTAGAAATATAAAAAAAATTCTAAACGTGCTCGAGATGCCATTAAAGTCTTATCTTGGCTGTACTTATTATTCTCGCTGACTACGTTGAACAGCCTTCGTGATTACATTTGGCGCTAAATTTCCTCTAAAAACCAATTCAAGTGCCAATTATTGTCAAATAGTGTTACAGAGCACAGATAACGAAATCTTCATACACTGCATTAACGTTCCTCAATCTATAAAACTTGTTTCAAAACACATTACCTGAGCCAAATAATTCAAACCTGTAGCTTCCCCATTGAAAATTTCATTGAATTCCCTGTCCCATAAGGGGAGGGGGGGATTCATTTGCACTCTAAATGCAGGATGCAAAAGCTTTCTAAAACTGGTATCATAGATCAACTTGCTGTCATTTAGATAATGGTCAAGTCCAACCGTCCTAAGCTATTTCAGAATACGGGATACAATCGTAAAACTAATGCACATCTATAAAGTGATCTGAGATCCCAGAGTTCTATATCCTAAGTGATCTGTTTTCGATACCAATGAGACAAAAAATTTCTACAAGGTCAAATACGATCGTGTTTGTCCTGTATCAGTATCAGCGGGTTTTTCGTGAAGAAATTATATAAAGTTAAATGAATCTTCACATGGTATTTTGAAAATAGTATTACTAAAAAAGAAGTGAGGTGTTTTTAATTAAATTGTTAGATTTGTTCTAATAAAACAGATTTAAAATTTGGTTCTTCATTTTAATAAAGTAATAGTTGTGTGAAGAGCTGCAGGTGGATTACATAAGAACTGAATTATAATACTCAATCAATTATATTATGAGTTATTTTATCGATCATTTAATAATATAATTTATCAAGTTTACTTAATAATTCCTCTTATTATTCCTATTTGTTTTAAATTTTTAAAAATCATTCTAAGTAAATACTTAATTATCTAAGTTTTTTGCGATATCAAACACCAAAATTTTATGCATTTTGAACAGTGCGTAAAATAAAAAACCGGCAACCCTCAATAACTTCTGATCTAATGATCGGATTTTCCAGATATAGGGCTCAATCTTAATGGTTCTTCACAGATATGCAAATTAATTTGCTCGATATTTTAAGTTACGAAATTAGACACAAAACATACTTTCTTTCAATAAACATACCATTTTTCGGCGGATTCAGTTTTTTTTTTATTTATTATTTTGCACTGTACAATAATGAATGTTTTATTACTAATATTTAATGCAAAGTGGGAATTTGGATTTATAATATTCCTCTATCAAATATTTAGGTATACTTTATTTGCTTCTAAAGTACTTAAGCTGGAAAAGTTTTAAAGCAAAAAAAGATTTTACCGTTTCACATTAAGAAAAAATCTATGATCAAAACTACCAGAATATGATAAAATTTACAATCTTTCTGGCTGCATGAGGACATCAAAAGATCAGGGATTTTTACTGAAGGTAAAATTAAGAATAAAATATGGTTTTACAGTGTGTGATAAAATTTGATAATTTTATCATGGTGCCTTACAGCAGAACATAAAAAAACCACCCATTCGGTTAAGCTTCAGTTATGTACTTTTTATTAAATGCGTGGTAATAAGAACTATAATTTTGAAAATCAGAATTTTTTCGGTAATGTGTTACCATATGAACGGAAAAATTATATTCATCGTATATTTCGCTTTATTAACCAGAATTATAGTTTTTTTCTGCCATATAATACGGTAATTTTACAAGAATTTTTTCTCAGTGCTGTTTTCTGAGATTATTCTTGTATTGCTTAAATGAATATTTTCTAGAAATATATTTTTATTAAGCCAGCTTGGTGGAGTTATTTCAATTAATAATTTTGAGACATGTTTGAAATAATGTTTAACAGCTACAATGTAATACAACAGCTACAATGTAATACAATGCTTCTTAAATATTAAAAATTAACCTGATTTTACCTGTTGAATTCTATCATCTTTCTGAAGATTAGCCAGTTTTTTACTCGCATAACTTCCTGGAAGTGGTGACTTAATTAGACCTCTGCCATATGTATATGAATTCGGTCGGACTTTCGAATATCCTTTTAAAGATTGAACTGAAATATCTTCTACATCCACATAATCAGGCTCATCATCCTATAAAAATATAATAATTTAATGAAGAAAAGGTAATTTACATTAGAGGTAATTTACATTACTTCTTAAACATAGCAGACTTGAAAGACACTTAAAATATTGCAGACATAATTAATTCCTCACATGAATAAGTATAAAATAATTTAAACATAAAAAATACACAATTTCCATTCAAACAATTGATAAAAATTACATTTAGTAGAAATAGAAAATATTTAAAAGCAGGTACATCGTTAGAAATTTTTAAACACGTTAAACCATAACATCATTTATATGTTGGCAATCATATAGTGAGGAAAAAATATGTTTAAAGCTACCAAAATACGATTGTAAAATTTAGCGCATATCTTGCTGTATGGGAATTAAATGTGTTTCTGGCTCTATGTAAATTAAAATATATCAAAAAAGAGCACATTAAAGATCCAAATATAATTCTACACACATTTTCAAGATAGTTTTCAGTTCAAAATTCTTTAAAATGTATTTGAAATTATTTTTGAAAGTAGCCGAAATGATCTTAAGATGAAAATAACAAGTAGTTGGTTTATTCTGACACAGATCCTTCTATGGTAACAATCGGAACTTTTGTTACCCAGAACTGAAATAAAATTCCAAATTCAAGAAAATGCCTTTAAAACTATTTTTAAGTTCGAAAGCGGCTTAAACGATCTTAAAACGAAAATAGCATGTATTTTATTCCAACACTGATTCTTCCAAGGTAACAATTGAAACTTTTGTTACCCAGAATTGAAATAATTACCAGAGTGAATCGACATATTTGTAAATTGAAATATATTTAAAAAAGAGCACATTTATGTTCTAAACATTTTAATTCTAATTTTCAATTCCAAATTCAAGAAAATGCTTTTAAAACTATTTTTAAGATCGAAAGTGGCTTAAACGATCTTCAAATGAAAATAGCAAGTAGTTTATTTCAACATTGATCCTTCTAAGGGGACAATCGACACATTAGTTACCCAGAATTGAAATAATCGACATGTTTGTAAATTGAAATATATTTAAAAAAAAGAGCACATTTATGTTCTAAGCATTTTTATACTAATTTTCAATTCCAAATTCAAGAAAATGCTTTTAAGATCGAAAGTGACTTAAACGATCTTCAAATGAAAATAGCAAGTAGTTTATTTCAACACAAATCCTTCCAAGGTAACAATTAAAATTTTTGTTACACAGAATTGAAATAATCGACATGTTTGTAAATTGAAATATATTTAAGAAAAGGACGCATTTATGATCTAAATATTTTTATAATAATTTCATATTCCAAATTCAAGAGAAAGTTTTTAAAATTATTTTTAAGATCGAAAGTGGCTTAAGCGATCTTCAAATGAAAATTGCAAGTAGTTTATTTCAACACTCATCCTTCCAAGGTATCAACTGAAACTTTTGTTACCCAGAATTGAAATAATCACCATATTTGTAAATTGAAATATATTTCTAAAAAAGGAGCACATTTATGATCTAAATATTTTTATAACAATTTTCAATTCAAATTCAGGAAAATTCTTTTAAAATTATTTTTAAGTTCGAAAGTGGCTTAAACGATCTTAAAATGAAAATAGCAAGTAGTTTATTCCAACACTGATCCTTCCAAGGTAACAATCGACACATTTGTTATCCAGCGTAAACTTTGACGTTTAGCCCCACAACAGTTGGCAATAATCCTAAAATTTATCTGATGAAGCATGTGCTGCTTTACTTTTTGCCGTCAACATCGGTTGACGCTTTTAATCGCAATGTCGAATGCTTTACAACCTGTTGTTCACGGTCACTACCTTCATACTCCAAGATAAATACAATTAATTTGTCATAATTGGACCCCTTGCCAAGGTTTGCGTAAATGGCGACTAAAGATGGGAAAGTAACGACTTAACAGATTTGGCACCGTAGTCCAGAGATAAGGCAAGAATTTGAGCTTAAAAGCCGGTATTGCCGCCAACGCGTAACGAATGGCGCGACCTTCAATTAAATGGCAATTTAAATATAAACAATGGATATCAAATGTATTCTAAGAAATGGTACTTGAGAAAAAAACTGGCAAATAAGAATAAAGTTGAAAATGTATACTTTTTTGTGCAGACGCAACAAACATGGAAGGAAGCATGTAGGAAGCATCAAGCATGGAATATTGTGAACGAAAATTGTACGTCAGAAATATTCTAAGACTACCGAAATGTACTAAAGGGACGTAGTTTAAAGGAATCAATCTATTTGGCACACGTCAAAGTAAGTGAAAAAATATTTTCATATTAAAAACTAGTAATTTTAAGAAAATTGAAAGTAAATTAATAGAATTCTAAATGTTTAATATAATTTTTGGCGGAAGATTAAAGTAAAATAGAATCCGTAAAATTATTTAAACAGTTTTAAACAGCTTTCTTTGTAAATTAAAATAAGAATAAAATAGACAAAAGTTTACTATCAACCATCTAAGATACTTTTGCTTCGTTTGTAAACAAACACTAACGTTGATATTATTTTGTTTACTTTATGAAAAGTGTTTCTCACAGTCTCTGGATGCATGGTTCATAAAAGAGTATTACCTGAACGTTCATTAATATTGACATAAATTATAAAAGACAAAAATATAGATCATAATATTCAATTTTATTCGGGCAGTTAAATTTAAATTCGAATAAATGAAGCAATTTTTATTTAATTTATAGTTTGCTTCAAAGAAACACTTATTTCTAAAGTCTTCTAATCATGTATTTATTTTATACAGCATATGAAAAGAAACGATTATTCCTAGTTGTACTTTTTATCATATAACTGTCTTACATTACATACAACAAACACATTAACGTCTTCTTGTCTTATAACCATTTTAAGCCAAGTATGATGAAAAAACATTTATCGTTTTTATCTTTTTGCCATGTAATTATTTCACGATGCATATAAAGAAACTTAGTGTTTTTATCTTTTTGCCATATAACTAAATTATGCAGTTTATTAAAAATTGTCATTTTTATCCTTTGCCATGTAACTATTTTACGCTGTGTATAAAAAATTTGTTGTTCTTATCTTTTGTCATTTAATATTTTACGATGCAAATAAAAAAAATTATAATTTTTATTTTTTTGCCATGTAACTATTTTACTCTATATATAAAAACTTAGAGTTTTTATCTTTTTGTCACGTAACTATTTTAAGCTGTGGATAAATTTAAGGTTAAGGTTTTCTTGTCGTGTGCCTCTTGCATATGGAAAAAAATTGATTATTCACGACTTCCTGTCATAGAACTATTGAGAACTTCTTATAAGAAAAAGTAATTTATTTTTAACTTCAACTTGCTATGCAACTATTTTCTTATGTAAGAAATAGTAATTTCTGTTAAATATATTACTTTAGAAATCCAAACGTCATAAAAATGAAGAAAATTACAAAGCCTTAAATCAAAACTTTTTAATGTAGTTGCCGGTGAAAAAGTAAATTCTGAACTAAAAACTATTTACATCTTTGATCTTATTTTTTTTTCACTGTTTTCATTGACTTGAATCTTTATTTCTTCATTTTTCATTTCTATTCCAACTATTTAAAATTTTATTTTAGTGCTTGAAAAGCTAATTATATTACATAATATTGCTGATAAAATTATGAGTTTTTTTATGATATTACTTTTGATAAGAAATGTCTTAAAAGCTAAAAATATACTGGATGAAAGTTAGACTATGTATATTCCAGATTACTTTAGTTCTTCCTAAATTTAAACGCAAATTACTTGAAAACTTTATTAAAATTAAAAATTTCAAGATATATCATATTTTAATAATCTAATTTACAAGAAATATTACTAGAAAACTCGAAACCAGCAATTTTCATTTCCACTCAGTCTGCTACCTCTTAAAAGGTATTAAAGAAAGGTTTTTGATTTTACTTCTTCATACCAAGGTTGGTTCCTCAGATCAATATTAATTCTTTCGTTGTACCTACATGCAAGTTTATCAATAATCAGTGCCCATATTGTATAGATTTTGAGCTCTTGTCTATAATGAGTACTTTAAGGATCGCAAATTAACACATAAGCACGAAAAATCCAACACGCAATCGAAATATGTGGAAAGTCAGAAGAAGTTTGTAAAACCAGTTCTAGAAACACCAAAACAAAATTGATTTTATATTTTATTTTATAACAGTCGTTGAACAGCCGACCCAATTTTGGGTTTACGACTACTAATGTTCAACTCAGTAGCCTTGTAATTTTGAATCCAATCCAGAAGACAAGGGAACTCCTGGGTCAAGTATTGGGTGAAATTCGCCTTCGAGGAGGACTTTTAGATGGAACTGACTCGCATTTGTGTTACAAGGAGAGGAAAACTGCGAAAACATCTCACGGTTAGCCTGACGGCAAGGGGACTCTAACCCATGATCCGTCTACCACTAAGGATATTTTACGTCAGCATTGTGATCGGTCAGGATTCGAACCCGGTTCACTTCATTGCAAGGCGAATGCTCTCACCCCTGAGACCTCACGACTCAAACGAGTTTGATTGTTAGAAAAAACTCGGCGTTGTTTTCGTAATCATTTCTCGACACTTCTTTGTTTCTTAACTAAACAGGTTTTGATGTTTGATTAAGCCGCCTTCTTCATTTGCGATTCCTCAAATTTCGATAATAGTTTTGTTTTTTTCCAGTTAAAATTTCATTTATGTAGCCCAATGAGTACACTTCTTTAACTTGATTTTTAACAAGATTTTATAAGAAGGCTTCTAAAATGTACACATTAAGAATAATTGTCAAACAAATTGCTTGCACAAACAATGTTTTAAGAAAAAAATTAAATGGACTAAAATATTTTTTTTTCTTAATTTACCTCGGTGGTTATATTAAGTAATTCTTATTTACCGCACATTTCTAGGCCTTTACGCGACTATATTCCAAATAATACACTTTGTAGAGCTTTACCTGATTTTCTTTATAATTTTTGATCATTTAATATTCAGTAATGCTTGTATTTTTAAGCTATCGTAATACAGTGAATAATATACATTTTCTAAGGATATTAAATACCATAAATTCTATACATTTGCATAAATATTTTCGGAGAATTCATTCTGTCTCGCTTAAATGTCTCTTTATACCCAACAACTGCAATATTTAATGCATACGCGGAGAAACAAATATCCATAAATTATATATTTGCATAAATATTTACGGAGAATTCATTCTGCCACTCTTAAATGCCTCTTTATATCAAACAACTGTAATCTTTAATGCATACGCGGAGAAACAAATATCCATAAATTATATATTAACATAAATATTTACGGAGAATTCATTCTGCCGCTCTTAAATGTCTCTTTATACCAAACAACTGCAATATTTAATTCATACGCGGAGAAACAAATATCCGTAAATTATATATTTACATAAATATTTACGGAGAATTCATTCTGCCGCACTTAAATGCCTCTTTATATCAAACAACTGCAATATTTAATGCATACACGGGGAAACAAATATCCGTAAACTATATATTTACATAAATATTTACGGAGAGTTCATTCTGCCGCTCTTAAATGCCTCTTTATATCAAACAACTGCAATATTTAATGCATATGCGGAGAAACAAGTATCCATAAATTATATATTTACATAAATATTTACGGAGAATTCATTCTGCAGCTCTTAAAGGCCTCTTTATATCAAACAACTGCAATATTTAATGCATACGCGGAGAATCAAGTATCCATAAATTATATATTTACATAAATATTTACGGAGAAATCATTCTGCCGCTCTTAAATGCCTCTTTATATCTTTATATCAAACAATTGCAATATTTAATGCATACGCGGAGAAACAAATATCCATAAATTATATATTTACATAAATATTTACGGAGAATTCATTCTGCCGCTCTTAAATGCCTCTTTATATCAAACAACTGTAATATTTGATGCATACGCGGTTGAACAAATGCTGGTGTAATTACCGCATTGTAGGGTAATGATATTTTGGATATTTCTGGTTAAAAAGAAGAAGAAAGTTTATTTGGTTAATATAACTAAAATAAATGGTATTTGAACCATTTCATTAGTAATTTTACTGGCTTATCGGAAATTCTGATTTTCAAAATTGAAGCCTTTATAACCACACATTTAATGAAAAATACAAACTGAAAAGTAAATTTAACCAATTAAATAGTTCTTATGCCATGCTTTAAAACATCATGATAAAAGTACCAATTTTTACCACATTTACCAAATTTCATCACATATTATGAAACCATATTTTATTATTACTTTTACCAAAATTACTACCAAAACACTTCAGTGAAAAATATTGAGCTTTTTGTGTTCCTATAGAGCCAGAAACACGGTAAATTTTACCATATTCTGGTAGTTTCTACCATACTTTTTTCCTCAGTGTTATTTTCATAATCAATTTTGAAAATGTTAAACATCAAAAAAGTTAAATTCGTAATGTAAAAATGTAAAAATTTCAATTATTTTTTTATGCTCCTTTAATTTTAATATCACAGAGCCTGAAACTAGAAGTAATTTTCTAAAAATAAAATTTATAAATCATTACTGAATTACCATTTTGAAGAATATTTATAAGATATGACTAATAAGAATAGTATTTTTAAATAAAAAAATACAAGTCATGCAAATAGAAATTATCATTCACTGTGAATAAGTGTCATGTTTTAATTTCAGTCCCATAAAATTTTATATTTCAAGGGGATCCGGGACACAATTTTATTTTTTTAATGCAAGCAATATTTTGAAATATTTTGTTGCACCTTGTTAAAAGTTATAAATTTTGTGCCAATTTCTCCTATTAAGCTTGTAGAATTTTACTATTTTAAAATTAAGCAATTTTAAAAAAATAATTCGAATAATATTTAATAAAACTGAAGTTTATAAGTTTTAAATTTGGCATTGTTTTCTTTGAATTAGGGATACGTATAGGAATATTAATCAGAGATATACATGATAAGGAATCATAACTATAATTTATCTTGAGCAAAAACTGCTACTAGCAGTATTTTTTTTAAAAAAAATTAGAAAAACTTCAAAATTAAATTGCATCTATTTGTTTTTTTTTTATTTTTAAAATTCATGGACTGAATTTATAAAATAAAATCAAGCATTCTTTGAAGTATCAATTCAGCATTGAACCATAATATTTGTACGATAAACCATAATATGGTGCACTTTTCCCACAATCTGAATAAAGTATTAAATTAGACTATGTTTCATTTCAATTTGAACCAAGTTTAAAAAAATATAATGAAACTATTCAACTAGTAACATATTAAGGGTTGCAACAAATTTGAATTATCTTATGATTAAACAAGCTCTAAAATTCTTGAGGGTGATATTTCAAATTTATAGAGTAATCTTCTTTCGTTTTCTATATAGGTCGTTTAAAAGTTGGGGAAAAAACGTGAAAAAATGACAACGGAAAAAGAGAAAACATTCTATATTATTCAAATTATTTTTCATTATCACTTGAAGTTTAATTTGNTGCAAATAGAAATTATCATTCGCTGTGAATAAGTGTCATGTTTTAATTTCAGTCCCATAAAATGTTATATTTCAAGGGGATCCGGGACACAATTTTATTTTTTTAATGAAAGCAATATTTTGAAATATTTTGGTGCATCTTGTAGAATTTTACTATTTTAAAATTAAACAATTTTAAAAAAATAATTTGAATAATATTTAATAAAACTGAAGTTCATAAGTTTTAAATTTGGCCTTTTTTCTTTGAATTAGGGACACGTATAGGAATATTAATCAGAGATTATACCATAACTATAATTTATCTTGAGCAAAAACTGCTACTAGCAGTACTTTTTTTTAAAAAAAATGAAAAAAACTTTAAAATTAAATTGCATTTATTTATTTTTTTTCTTTTCAAAATTCATGGATTGAATTTATAAAATAAAATCAAGCATTCTTTGAAATATCAATTCAGCATTGAACCATAATATTTGTGCGATAAACCATAATATGGTGCACTTTTCCCACAATCTGAATAAAGTTTTAAATTAGACTATGTTTCATTTCAATTTGAACCACGTTTCGAAAAAATATAATGAAACTATTCAACTAGTAACATATTAAGGGTTGCAACAAATTTGAATTATCTTATGATTAAACAAGCTCTAAAATTCTTGAGGGTGATATTTCAAATTTATAGAGTAATCTTCTTTCGTTTTCTATATAGGTCGTTTAAAAGTTGGGGAAAAAACGTGAAAAAATGACAACGGAAAAAGAGAAAACATTCTATATTATTCAAATTATTTTTCATTATCACTTGAAGTTTAATTTGAAAAAATGAATAAACAAAATCAAGTCATATGCCTCGTTCTAATTAAAGTTAAAAAAAAACACTATTGAAATATTCTAAGGTTCAGTATCGCGTGAAATTCACTGTGGAAAAAAATTGAATAAAATATAGTCATATGGCACGTTCTAATTAATATTAGAATAATCCTCATTTAGATATCCTAAGGTTGCATGATGACATTCAATGAGAAAAAAAATAGATAAAATAAAACACAGTCATATGGCTCATTCGAATTAAATTGAAAAGTTCCCCATTAAAATAATCTAAGAGTCAGAATCACTCTATATTCAAAACGAAAATAAAAATAAATAAAATAAAACTTTGCCATACGGCACGTTCTAAAAATCCCCATTAAAATATTCTAAGGTTCATTTTCACTTGAAATTCAGTGCGAAAAAAACATAAAATAAAACTTAGTCATATGGCTCATTCTAATTAAGAAAAATTCCTATTAAAATATCCAAAGGTTTAATATCACGTGAAATTCAGTGCGAGAAATAAATAAATAAAATAAAATCTAAGCTCATTCTAATTAAAATAAAAAGAAATTCCCATTAAATAATATCCTAAGGTTCAGTATCAAATGAAATTCAAAGCGAAAAAAAATAAAACCTAGTCATACAGTTCATTCTAATTGAAATGAAAAAAAATCAATATTAAATAACTAATGCCATTATTCTTATGTAATAAAATAGTTAATAAATGACAAAATTTTCAAGATTTTTGTGTCCTGAACCCCCTGCATTAAATATATTAAATACAAATTGCGAGGTTGGCAACACTAGATAATCTACATAGTGTCTTAAAATATTCCTGCTATAGCACTAAATGCTTATCAAGCATTTTGCTAACAGCTAAGCAAAAGCCATATATAACCTTTTTCCTTACATCATTTTGATTCTGAGAAGAATAAGTACGAGGAACAGATTGCTTTGTTGCAGTCAGTGACAATCTTTTTTCTTCTCGATCGTCTGACACCTTTTCCAATTTCATTTTTAGTTCTCGAACTTGTGCTCTAAGCTCTCTGATTGTTTCTTCCAATCCACTCTTTTCTTCTTCTATGGTTCGAATTTTATTTTTCATTTGTGCTTCTGTTGTACTCAAGACATTTTCAGTTTGTTGTAAGGAAGTTTTTAAGTCACTTTCAGATTTTTTTAACTTCACCAAGGTTTTTCTGGAGGTATCTAGTTCTAGTTGAGCTTTATGAAGATTGGACGCTAGTTCGTCTTTGTCATTCAACTGAGATTCTAGTTTTTCACGTAGCTGAAAAGGAACAAAATGTCAATAATGCCATTTAATAAATAGTTTTTTTTTATTGAACAATTAGTTTTAATATTTCAGTTAAATAAACTGAACCAAAAATAATATCTTAGATTGTAAAATAATATAGACTACTTTATTTCACTGTAAAGTAATTCCAGTTTCTTACGCAGTTAAAAAGGAACGAAATGTCAATAATGCCATTTAATACATTATTTTGAATTAGTTTTTGTTTTATTGAACAAATAATTTTTATATTTCAATTAATGAAACTGAAACAAAAATAATATCTTAGAATGCAAAAGAATGTAAACTATTTTATTTCACTATAAAGTAATTCTTGTTTTTCACGCAGTTAAAAAGGAACAAAATGTCAATAATGCCATTCAATAAATTATTTTGAAATAGTTTTTGTTTTATTGAACAATTAATTTTTATATTTCAATTAATTAAACTGAAACAAAAATAATATCTTAGATTGCGAAAGAATATAAACAATTTTACTTCACTGTAAATTAATTCTAGTTTTTCACGCAGTTAAAATGGGACAAAATGTCAATAATGCCATTCAATAAATTATTTTGATTTTTTTTTCTTTTTGATTTTTTTTTGATTTATTGAAAAATTAAATTTTTTATTTTAATTAATTAAACTGAAACAAAAACAATATCATAATTTGCAAAAGAATATATATTCTATTAATTTTAGGGTAAAGTAATTTTTTTAAACAATTAAACTGTATTTTTAGATTTATTTTAGAATAAATTCCGTAAATATTTTCTTTCGCAGTCATAATTTATGATCCAGTAAACAAAAGATAAAGTAATATTTTGATTTACGATATTGTTGATATTATTTATAATAAGCATCTATTAAATTAATGAAAAAATTCGTCTTGAAAAGTCATTTTTTATTTATTTTGTTCCATTTGAATTCACTTATTTAGAATTGGCATGCAAATTTGCATTGAAATTTATTGTCTCGAATTTTATTGCCAAAAGATATGAGCTACGAAATTACCTTAGTAAGAGAAAATGATTTTAAGAAACTCCCGGCATTCTATGTTGCAATCGATTTTATAAAAACAATGCGATATGTTACAATCAATTTCATAAATTTTTAAAAATATTTAGTAGACTCGTTATTTTGCAATAATTTTTTTAATTTAAAGATATATTTGTGTATTTGAAATCATTTCGTAACTGCTAAAATTTTGCTTTAAAAACACTTTAATACTATCTCATTTCCATTATAATTGTTAAATATGAGAATATGTATCGCAAGAACTGCAGACGTTTTGGTAGGTGGAGCATATATATAAAGAAAATTGTCGGATACAAAATCTTTCAAGGAAAAAATTCTCGTCGAGCAGTGAGTGATAATAAAAAGAATTTTTTTTAGAACTTTACTTGTTTTTTAGAGATCTACTTGTACTCTATAAAAAGTTCCAGATCAAATTACGGTAAAAAGTACAGGCTCTCAGTGCGCCAGTGCTTTTTTAAAGTAAAATCCATTTTTACCAGGACATGTTACGGAAAAATCTGATATACCGTAATTTTTACAGTAATAATTACCATAAAATCACTGAATCACTCGAATTAAATAAATATTACTGTAAATATTACGGTGCAATATTTTACTGTAAAAATGAATTTTACGGTAAAAGGGATACACCCAAAGTACCTGTACTTTATACCGTAATTTAGTTCGGATGATTTTAGTGTGTAGCTTTATGATAACCTGCAAAGCAAATAGTAGTACAATTTGCTAGTTTAAAAATATAAGGTATTGCATTAACTCTACAAAAAGATTGTCATTGTATAACTTATCGAAGCTATAAAAAAATTTTTTGAAAGTGACGATAGAAAAAAATGGAAAAATTAAGAATAATGGACGACTCTTTCGCAACCTGGGTTCGAACGCAAGGAACTTGCCTAAGCTCTGTACCTACCTGTAAGACAGTAGGAATGTTTTTAAGATCAGATAAAATGCAACAGAAAGCCAATTGTGACGTCAAAATAAATGAGAAAAAGTTTATGGCGGTCCTTTATTGACATCAATTTAGATGACTTTCTCAGTGTAATTTACTGTAAAAGTTTAATAGGTGTAGAGATTTTATTTTACAGTAATAAGTTATTATAATGAAGCAGAATTTCATGCAGTCGAAAAATTAAGAAATAAATAACTCTAAATTCCAGTACCAAAATTTGAAAACTGGCTACAAACGTTAATAGAATATGAAGTAATGTCACTCGGAAAGAAGATTTCGGTCTGTGACAACTACTACAATTGGTATTTGTAAACAACTAATCTTTTAAGGTTGATTTTCGAAGGCTACATAGTCATATGAAATGACACTTTTTTGAGAATAATACGCTATTTTTATAAGTGCTGTGATTTCGCAACAGTTACTGATGATTGTCAGGACAGTTTAACCTATCTAAAGCTGCCACTGTCTATGCTTATTCTGAAAATGGCGCAAAATGTCGATCTGGTTAAAAGCCACAGTTATGAAAAAATCAAAAGAATTGTTCGTTCACTGTTTTAATATTTAAAAACTTTCTTCACTGCTGCATTACCTGGGCTCATACAAATTTTCAAACACCGAAAATGAGGCAACCAATTTGATAATTTTCATCAAGGTGGAAAAATGTCGCCAAATTGGCGATTTTTAAAAAGGTTGAATAACTTTTAAAATATTTAAGTTATTCGTCCGTTCTGAAGCAGCCCTGTGAAGCAACACCTCCTAGATAAGAGCAGGCCTCAGCACGGGTTACCATAAATATCCTTTAGTAGTCCAAACGTATTGGCATATTTCGTATTTTCAACCACTGCGCAGCTTAGTACCCTTAACGAAATGACATCTTTCTTATTTTTCATCTACTATGCAGTTATCTTCGTTAGATCGGACTACTAAATTGATCCGTGCTGAGGCCTTCCTTCTTCTAGGAGGTGTTGTCTGAAGCCCAGATAATTCTTCACGACAAGAGGATATATATATTAGGGGGACCGGAAAGTAATGTCGTTTCGGAGCATTAAATATTCGTTAGTCTTAAGAACCAATTCTTTTTTTTTTTCGATTCATCTTTGATCCGGCATAAAAAGGTTGTTGCTAACGAGGGTGAATACATTATTGATGAAAAATAAAATCTTGATAACAAATATCAAATGCACCGAAACGACATTATTTTCTGGTCCCCCTAATAGTTTAAAATAACTGTTTTGCTTTAAGTGTAAGGCATATGAGCGTGACTTTTTTTATTTTTCTTGGTGACCGAGATTTGAAAAACCATATTAGCGATATATTGACCTTAATATCCTACATTTATTCTGTTTTCACCTTTTTTGCTACAGTAGTAGCTGCATTTAGACATTTTTAATCAATTTCTGATCAATACAAACTAATTCTACTTCAAACAAAGGGGTATTTTTCATCATCGGTGGTCGGTATATTTAAAGATTAATGTTTTTAACAGCTTATGGAAGCATTTTTGTTTCAAGAATTACATGACGATCGGGTAACCGAAAGATTGTTTTAACAGCTTATGATGACATATTTTCATGAGAATTAGCTAACTTAATGATTATTGTTTAAACAGCTAATTTAGACATTTTTTCATAAAATAATAACTTGACTGTTAGCTAGTCAACGTTTAATATTTTAAGAACGTATGGTAACATATTTCATGGAAAATTACGTAACTATCAACGACCTTTACGATTATTTCTTACAAAGCTTATTGTGGCTTTCTTTTGAAAGAAAATTTCTTGACAGTCAGCTTATCTAACGAATCTTGTTTTAGCAGATTAAGGAAGAATTTTTTTCAAGAGAATTACTTGGCGGTTAACAACTCGGTTATTGTTTTAACAGCTTTGCAATAGCCTTTTTTAAAAGAAACTACGAAAAGGAGTCAGGAATTGATAACTAAATGAAAGATTTATTTGATAATTTAAGTGATTTTTACTTTATTTTACTTTTATTCATTTAATTTATTGCAATGTAATATCAATTTTAATGATAATTCCTTACTTTTTAATGCATGTCTGTTATTTGATATGTAATTTACTTATAGATTAATAAAACTAAAATGACTTTAGAACTGATTCAAATGCTAACTAAATTGCGAAAAACCAAACATTTCATTTAACACACTTTCGACGAAAGATTTTTTTAACATTAAAAAAGCTTTTACTAAAAAAATCTGATTTAATTTTAGTTTCCTCACTTAATAAGCTTATTTATATTTATTAAAACAGCTTTTATGGAACAATTGCAATATGCCAATAAAATAATTCGTAATGTTTATATCGGAAATCTTTCTAAATAATAGTTATATAATGGCCATTTTTTTCTCTCATCTTTTTGTATTTTTCGATTTAAAAAAACACTATCAAGCGCTTGATTTACTGCCTCATTGGTTTAAAATGAAATATACCGACAACGTAGAGGAACAATCATTAGATAGGAGTATTTTCTGTTTCCATTCAGTGTGCAGCTTGAAAAGTTTAAAATATTTAGCTAATACTTATTGTTCATAAAGCCGAGAATTATATTTTTATCAATTTTTATATTCGAACCCTAAAATATTATATTATATAAAGAAGAGTGGCAAAATGCGTTTATATTTAGGATCACATAGCGTAGAAACAGCGCAATTAAGCACAAATGTACGAATTCGGAACATTAACAGCCGTTTCTATATTAAAAACAGGGGGCGATGGGTGTTGCTTTTGAGCAACGGAGTTCCTGAACAACAAGGCTGGAACTTTCCATATAATTATTGAAAGGGAGAAAAATAGCTGGAGATGTTAGCCAAGCAATTTATGCTAAAAACAAGTTTTATCATCAGTTTTCCCGCTGATGATATTACTTGCTCAAAGAACCGATACTGGTGTCTGACTTTGAACTTGATTTCTTCTATTTATTGCGTTGTTTTAATACCAGCCCAAAAAGACCCAAAAGACTACAATTTCTGGATACTAAAAGCATTGTCATAAAAAATTAACGCATATTTGTTTCCTGAAAAAGGTATAAATGGATGAAAGAAACTTTAATTCAATTATCCCATTACTTTTTGATAGTTTCAAGTATCCTTAACCAACACTGAAGAAACAAAAATTCGAATCAAATTACGGTAAAAAGCACCGGCACTCAGTGTAGCGGTATTCTTTACCCTAAAATTTAACGGGACAAAAAATTTGATATACTTACCTTAATTTTTACAGTAATACTTATTGTAAAATCACTGTAGTTAAATAAATATTACTGAAAAAAATTACGGTATAATATTTTGAGGCAAAAAAAATGGACTTTATGGTAAAATGAATTTCAAAGAAGCAGATCTTAGAGTGCCGGTACTTTTTACCGCAATTTGATCCGGAATTTTTTGCACTGCACTTACTCCATCAATTATTAAATTCATAACATAAACGTTTTTATTAGTAACATTTTTCTTTTTTTATTGTAATTACATAGTAGACTGTGAAGGAAAGGAGGGTTATTTTCGTACTAAAGTTTAGTGTACATTATGCATCAGCATGATGCATTTGATGCATTGATGACATAGAAAACAATGTATAAATCACAATATTATGCAGTTACAACAGACAGGCAGTGTTTTGGTATAATTGCCAAAACAACGAATCTCTTCTGATTTATACCATATACACTGTAAGAAATTTTGGATCAAATTACGGTAAAAAGTACTTGCACCTTGAGGGTAACATCCATAAAATCCACTTTAACGTAAAATCCATTTTTACCGCAAAATTTTATTCCTGAATTTTGATACTAATTTTTTTTTAATTACTGTAATTCAGAGATTTTACAATAATTATTACTATATAAAAATTACGGTGCACTTCAGATTTTATTTGTTTCGTGAAATTTTACATTAATAGATTTTACTGAAAAAAATACCGGAGCACAGGTTGCCAGTACTTTAACCATAATTTGATCGGGAATTTTTTACAGTGCATCGTGCTGATGATGGATGGTGTTTGCCACTGTTCTAAAATGATAGTTTTTTTTTCAAACTATTTTACTTGTGCTATATGTTGTTTTCTACTATATTGTACTACTTTATGATCCATATGCTTATGTTAAATGAGTTTTAAGTTCTTAATCAACAGCTATTTTTTATACTAATATTTCACAACTTGATTTTGTTTGTTGGGAACATAATAGAAATCAAATTTTAAATAAAGATATATTTATGTTGCAAAAAAACTAATGAAAAATGTTTGACACATTGTATAAACTGTGTTTCATAACTAGGAAATTATGCTAAAAACGCATTTATATCTACATTTTTATTTCGAACACAAGGTAAATAGTAATTTTCGCAGTTTCCAAAATAGTTGGTTGCATTCGTATTATTATAAATAATAAAGAAAGTTAGATATTGTATAACAGAATCAGCTAATTTTATAAATAATTCAAAGATTTAAATAAAACTTATAAAATATTGCACTACCTTTTCTAGATCTTTAACTTTACTCATAGCATTTCTTTGAATTTGTTCTAATCCTTCGATTTTTTCCTTCAGAACATTTTCCCTGGATTCAGCTTCCAACAACTCAACAACCAAATCATCTGGTTTCCTGCCATCAGAACTACGCCTTTCCTTGTGCAAAGCGCCACGTAGTCTACTTTCAATTTCTTCAAGGTGTCCAACTCTTTGTTTGAGATTTCTTTCAGATATTTCAAGTTCTTCTATTTTGTTTTTGTACCCTTGTTCCACAGATGCAACAATTCTGTCAGCATGTTCTAATGTTTCTCTATATGCTGCTTCCTTCTGTTCCATTTCATCTAGTTTTTCTCTCAACTCTACTTCGCGAATGCGGAGTTCCTTCAATTGGTTCAAAAGTTTTTCTCGTCGGAAATTGCTTATGCCGTCATTATTGATATCTGAACCGAAACCAGAATCGATATCACCAGTTAATCGATGAAGTTCTTTGTGCAAGTGTGTCACATTGTTTTCAAGTTCGGCAATTCTAGCTTTATAACCTTCTTCCTTACCTCTGTAATGTAAAAGGATAAGTTTTTAGTCATAAATATCATCAATAAATTTAATAAAATCATTTTATCAATAAATTTGAAATGTTTGAAATATTTCAATTAGTTAAACTGAAACAAAAATAATATCTTAGATTGTAAAAGGATATAAACTACTTAATTTCACTGTAAAGTAATTCCAGTCTTTCACGCCAATAATTCTAGTTTTTTACGCAGCTAAAAAGGAACAAAATGTCACTAAGGCCATTTAATAAAATATTTTGAAATAGTTTTTGCTTTATTGAACAATTAAATTTTAGATTTCAATTAGCTAAACTGAAACAAAAATAATATCTTAGATTGTAAACGGATATAAACTACTTCATTTCACTGTAAAGTAATTCTAGTTTTTCACGCCAGTAATTCTAGTTTTTTACGCAGCTAAAAAGGAACAAAATGTCACTAAGGCCATTTAATAAAATATTTTGAAATAGTTTTTGTTTTATTGAACAATTAAATTTTTCATTTCAATTAGCTAAACTGAAACAAAAATAATATCTTAGATTGTAAAAGGATATAAACTACTTCATTTCACTGTAAAGTAATTCCAGTTTTTCACGCCAGTAATTCTAGTTTTTTACGCAGCTGAAAAAGAACAAAATCTCACTAAGGCCATTTAATAAAATATTTTGGAATAGTTTTTGTTTTATTGAACAATTAAATTTTAGATTTCAATTAGCTAAACTGAAACAAAAATAATATCTTAGATTGTAAAAGGATATAAACTACTTCATTTCACTGTAAAGTAATTCTAGTTTTTCACGCAGTTAAAAAGGAACAAAATGTCACTAAGACCATTTAATAAAATATTTTGAAATAGTATACTATAACTATTTTATTTCACTGTAAAGTAATACCAGACTTTCACGCAGCTAAAAAAGCTCAAAATATCAATAAAGGCATTTAATAAATTATTTTTTTTATTTATTTAACAATTAATTATAATTTTATCAATAAATTTGATGTTTTAAAGACTTTGTACTAAATAATAACATGTAGCAACCACAGCGTCATCTCAACAGGCAGTAGATGCTCAGACTTTGAACAGAATTGACCTTTTCTTTCTCCTTCTCATAATTATTCGAATTTATGTGTGTGCTATTTGTTGTTAATAAAAATATTTGGCACTAAGCTTTTCGTTATTTAAATCCTCAAGATCTAGCCAGGGCCACAAGCATAAATTGGCTTTGCCCTTTTTTAGAACTGTCTCAAAAAGAATTAAATATGAGATATTAAATGAAAAATTGTGGTAGAGCTTTGTTGGCATGCTAATTAGCATATATTTTGATTAAATGGTCCTTAGGGATTTACCAAAAAAAATAATTTTATAGCATATTAACTTCTGAATTGAATTATTAATCATTATATTACGTTTGTATCTGAATTAAATAGGAAAAAACATTTGATAGCATAAAAAGCTGGAACTGACTTTAATGCACCAAATTCATACAGCATTATAAACATACAAAATAAGATCAAATAATCCATAAATTAAACTTGGTATAAGAGCAAAAGAAGATAGAAAAGAAAATATGGGCAGGAAACGAGCAAATAAGGAAGAAAACGTCACTAGGGTGCCTCGTGAAACCCGTTTTTATCTAAACCCCCTTAGAGATAAATTCAATACACCTTAAAAGACGTTTTTATATTATGGTCACTTGAATTACACCTGATCCTGATAGAATCTTTTAGCTTCGTACTGTTTTTGGATGATTATTTCTCAGAACTTGTAGTTTGCAAAGATGAATAATAAATAATTATTGTATTATTTCGCTAAGAATTAGCAATTTTTTGGCATTTTACGGCACTAAATCCGGAATGGAGCAAAATAAAACAATTTTATATCGTAGGTAATTGCATAGGTTCATAAGAAGTTACTAAGTGTTTGAGAATGAGTCGTGGCTGTTCAGGAGATAGGGCATTCATCCGCCAATGAGGTGACCCAGGTTTGAATCCCAGCGGAGGCTGGTTGATATGAATTCTGCTTCCAGCTGGCTCGAACCATTCACAGTGCTGACGCAAAAAGTCCTCAATGGTTGACGGATCTTGGGTTAGAATCCCTTTGTTGTCGAGCTAACCGTCGTTTTCCTTTCTATGTAAAACAAGTGTGGGGTTAGTTCTATGAAAAAGGGTTCCATGAAGGGTAGTCTGTCTCAGTGCGTGATCCATGAGTTCCCTTGTCTTCTGGGATGTATTCAAAATAACAAGGTTACGGAGTTGAACATTGGTAGTCGTGAACTCAAAATTGAGTCGGCTGTTCAATGTCAGTTATAAAATAGACGGGAAAGGGTAAAGCTTGACACTTAAACATGTTGACCAACAGCTAATAATTATTGATGCCCTCCTTCAATTATTTATGTCTTAGAACCTTTCATCTCTTAAAAAACTTTAATTGCTGAAATCATTTTGTTCCATGTAAATCAAATTAATCGCTGTAAAATTAAGCAGTGAGGAACAAACATTTTCCGAAATGAGTGAGTAGAAAAAAAGGGATTATATTCGGATTCAGGAGGATATTTCATAGAAGAATTACAAGAACTGTTAGGTGCCATGTTAAATTCCAATTTTATTTTTCTGAAAATATTCTGAATTCAAATGCAGAATTTAAATATTTATTATGTGTACGTGTCACAAGAGGTAATACTATTAACAACTTCCAAATTCATTCCCGTTATTTTTTAGTTGTATCTGGCTCAAATGCAATTTTTAACAAGTATCAGATAAAAAATATATATTTTCACAAGAATTACTGCTTTTTCCGGTAAGCAATATTTCTACCAGTTAATATACTAAACTTATAGAAAAATTTTAGTTCAATAACGGTTTATAAGTAGAATATTTCTTAAGTATACCTTTTTATAAATTCTAGCTTTACTCCAAATATTTATACTTAAAAGAATTACAAGCAATATGATATCATTTTGAGAAAATTAATAGTTTGGAGAAGATATCTTTTATTGGAAGTTATCAAGTGTCCAAACCATGACCAACAAATTAAACAAAATGGGGAGTTTTCTGCCTTTTGCTCAGAAAACCAGTAATTGCTTACGAGATTTGTCACCAGGTGCTGATTGGGAAGAATATAAATAACATTTTTTTTAAAACCACTATTTGCAGCTACATTAAGGCGTAGTCAAAAGACTAATCTTGTCAACAAGTGCTGATTGAGAAGAACTATAAAGAATTTTTTTGAAACCATTATTTACTGCAAAATTAAAGCGTGGTCAAAGGACTAATTTTGTTAACAGGTGCTGATTGAAAAGAGCTATAAGGAATGTTTTTTTAAAACCACTATTTGCAGTAACATTTAAGCGTAGCCAAAGGATTAATCTTGGCAACAGGTTCTGATTGAGAAGAACTATAAAGAATTTTTTTTAACCACTATTTGTAGCAACATTAAGGCTCAGTCAAAAACCTAATCCAACAAACATTCGTGCAAATATTTCACCTGCAACAGAAAACTATATTTTATAGTTCTTCCAATTTTGAGCACGCCATCTGTTGTGAAATTTCATAACTAATTTTTGAAAATTAGGTTAAAATTACTGGTTTTGTAAGCATAAAGCAACATACCTCTAATTCTTTTAAATATTTTATTATATCCCTGGTTATTTTTAGAACGACTAAAAAATGCTTTCATACTCAAGCCAACTAGTTACCGTACTTCTAATGAATGATAGAGTATATTTTTTAAAAATGCACATACCTCAAATCGTCAATGTTATTTTGCAATTCTTTCTCCAAGCGCATTTTCTCATCAGACAGAGCTTTCGTAGCAATTGAAGTGCCTTCTTCCATTTGTTTGAGTTGTTTTTTGAGCTCAGCTTCTATAGCGCGATGTTCTTCTTCCGTAGCTTCGACATTCTTCTTATATTCCAATCTAGCCGACTCCAGATCTTGCTCTTTTTGCTTAACGATTTCAATTAACTCAGTTTGCCTTGTTTGAAAGTTACTAATCATTTCATCAAAGCTTGAATTTTTCTGCCGAAGCATTTCCAGTTCTGAAATCAATCTAGCTTCCTCCAGCATATGTTTGCTACGAGACTCATCTAATCTTATTCTAAATTCCTCTTCCTTTTTGCGAATATCATCTCGAGTTCGACTCAGCTCAAGCTGTAGCTCCACATAGCTGGATTTTAGTTTATCAGATTCCGCTTTATCACTGGTTTGGGTTATTTTCAGATTTGTAATTTGCTTAAGATGTTCTTTTTCCCTGACTAGTAGTTGATCCACCTTCAATTGCAAACGTGCAATGATTTTATTCTGCTCCAATTTTAAATTTTTGATTTCTAATTGGTGCTTTTCATCATTTTCCTTCAATTCTTCTTCTAATTTCAAAACCCGTTCAGAAAGTTCGTGTTTTTCTTCTTCCAATTTGGCAACTTGGATTTTTAATGAATCTCTTTCGTCTGACAGTCTTTTTAGATCTCCAATAAAGCGTTGTTCTGTCTGAACCCACTCTCCATATTTTCTCTCTTTTTCCATATATAATCTCTCTCTAACTTCGAGTTCTTTTTCGAATGCAACGTTTATCTCTTCTAATTGCAATAACCTTAATTTGATTTCTTGTTCGTTTTTATCTAAACTAGACATAATTCTTTTGCTGTAACAAGGACTTGCACATTTGCTTGGGCAAGCTGTACTGTCTTCACGCATTTGTTCACGTGATACTGGCCTACTAGAGAAATCGCCTTCGGATTCTATACAACTATCGCTTGCGTTATCTTCTGATATGTTTTTTCGTTTGCATTCTCCAATATGGAATTCTAAATTATGCAATTTCTTCCATAGGGTAAGATTAATTTGGTCTACATAGTGCAGCTGCTGTTGCAAGTTCGCGTCTTCTTCAACTAACTGATGCAGTCGTTTTAGAAGTTCTTTTTGAATAGGACAAGGTATCTCAGATAATGTTGAAATATTGGACTCTGAACCTGATAATAAAAAAATAATTTTCGTTACAAAGATGAAAAATATCAGATTTTAAAATGAAAACTTACGTGGTAAAAAAAGATTGGGGTAAATGAAATGAAAATTTTTATGAGTTCTTTTTTTTGTAAGTTTTATAGCAATATAACAGTGAATCAATTTATTCATATAGAAAAATTATATCAAATTTTAAAAAATTTCGTATTTAACCTAATAGTCAATGCTGTATCAATATTAAAAATCAGTGTAATCAATATTGAAAAAAGATATATTTTAAAATCAAAAGTCGTGTTTTTCTTTTTCTATGTTTTAAATCAAAGTAGAATAACAGTAATGCAAACGTCTCATAGGAATATATTTTGGCTTGTTTTTATAAATTATTTTCGTAACTTGAAAAATTAATAGCCTTAATATTTTTTTTACGTAACTAACTTGAATAAATAAGAAAATAAATATGTTTTTAATTTTATATTTGCTAAAAAAAAGCATTCTATTAGTTTTTTTTATGATTTATCAAGAAACAAAAAATAATAATTTACATTTGTAGTTCTATTTTTCAGTGTAATAATATGCAGTGATCTTAAAGTTATTATGTGTCATTAATAGCTAATAAATGAGAGCATGTCTGAATAAAAGAGCTCTTAAAGCGTACTTTAAAAGTACTTAATCAGTTAATTTAAACAGTTTCGTAGTTATAGTAGCTAAAGAAACGAAGATTTATAAAAAAAGGAACAAACCGTTGATAATATTTTTAAGTCAAAACGCAAAATGCGAGTTTGAGAAAAGGACATAATTTGAACATTGCGTTTAAGAAGAAAAAAATAGATATGTTGATTAAAAAGGGCTTCAAAAAATGAAAAAATCTATTTAACGCAATGAAAATGGCATTTGAGGTCAGTTTTTGAACTATTTTATGACGATCATTTTTTGAATGAAGTAACTAGTGTAAGGTGACTAGCAGTCCTCAAATTTCTTCGACTGTTCTCAATAATTTTCAAAAGCTTTGAGGAAGGAAAATGTTTTATAGGTTTTAACACCTCCCCTTAAAATGTTATCGAATTATTCAAAACTTTTTTTTATAACCATCAACAACAAAAATCTGAAATGCGCATGTTTTTTTTTTTTTTTTGAGCAAGATAGGAACACACAGAATACAAACAAAAAAACAAAAAAGAAGCAACATGTTAAAAGCTCTATTCTCGTTTTAAAATAATTTCAGCAAAAACTAAACAAATTTTAATAATCATGTAAGCATTCAATTTACTTATGCTCAAATACAGAATATTGTATGATGTTTCAAAACTGCTTTGAAATGAAATCAAGTTCAATGAAAATGATTCTGCACCTGATATTAGTTATAAATTTCTAAAAAAAATTTTTTTTGCATATATAAATTATTTTTCCATGAATATATGGGTGTCCTCAAGTAACAAAAGTTTGCGAAGACATTCCACTCATATGTCCTCAAATCATGGTTTGTAAATCTGGTATATAACTAGTGAATAATGATTATTTGTGGTGTTTACAAAAACTAAGAGAATTTTCGCTTTCCTAATGATTTGGTACGCGGTCTCTTTTGAAGAGACGCAGATATTAAAAATTCAGATTCCATGTTTAAACTATTCGTACCTAATGCTCTTTAAACCCCTTAACATACAAGCCCGATATTCTGTTAAGTTAAGGGATTAAAAGGAAATTTCCTTTTTATCAAAAAAGAAAAAGTAGTAATTAGCACTTATTTTGAGGAAACAAGAAAGCTCTGTTTACCATAATGTATTAATAGAATAAATATTTATATTTGGATCTGATTTTTAAGTACAATCTTTATTAAAAACTAAAGTGATGGAAAATAAAAAGAAATATTCACTCGGAATAAAATAAAATGTTTACTACCACTTCTTTATACATAGGTGCTTTACTTATATGGACCTCTTTTTGTTGCTAGACGTTTATGCGTTAATATACAAAAGACATTTCAGTTTTAATTTAACGCCATTTTGATCTCTGTTTATTTTTTCAAACACACATTTCAAAGTGTAGCCCTTTTCTGAAACACGCATTTTTAGTGGTGTTCATTTTTCCAAACGCGAATATTAATCTATGTTTCATTTTTTTAAATTTAAAGCGCTTTCTGAAAAATATCAATTCTTGCAAACATGCATTTTAAATTTTCTCCATTGTCGAAAATTATTTTGAGCTATGTTTTTTTATAAAAAGGTAGCAGTAAAATAAACAACCACAAAAAGAAGTTAAAATGCAAGAAGAACAGCGCAAACTGTTGATTCCAACATTGATTGTACTCGGAGAAAAAAATCCTGGTCAAATTACTGTACTGTATAGTAAAGATATTTATGGTAAAAAAATAATTCTGGTTGATGAAACTAAAATATATTGTATTTTAGCCATTCATTTGGTAATTTTTTCGTTCATATGGTAATCGTTTACAGGCAATTCTGATTTTCAAAATTGCATTTCTTATTGCCACACATCTGAAAAATACAAAATTAAAAAGTAAATTTAGCCAGATTTAGTCGTTTTTGTACCCTGCATCATAATAAAATTACCAAATTTCACAGCATTTACAAAATTTTAACCTATATTATAACACTATATTTTATTGATAATTTTGTGAAAATCATTATAAAAGTTCTTCGGTAAAAATTACTGAGCTTCTTTGTTGTACTCATAGAGTCAGAAATATGGTAAATTTTTCCGTATTCCGGTAGTTTAGAGCTTCTTTTTTTTTCTCTGCTTAGTAATTACGCTTTAAGCCTATTGAAAGTTAGACAAGCTGTAAGAAAACTAAGAAATAGGCGGAATTTCTGTGATGATGGTAGGAGAAAAAATTAACCGTTAAATTTGATTAAAAAAAATTCAACAAGAAAATTACTAAAAGATTCATACTTTTCTTGGACGATGGCTTTTATAAACCTTTTTAGCGCTAGACATTTTTGGTGAATATTTCGGCTGTTCTATAACAGAATTTCAAAAAGTTCGCTCAAATAATTTTCTTTATCGATATTTTTAATAAAAAATATTTAATGGAACCACAATTGCATGTTTCATAACACAGCCATACTTCAAAGTTTATAACTAAAAATTAAATATGCATGTTGAGATTTGTTAAAAAAAGAATAGTTTTATATTTCTCCAGATAATGGGCATGCAAAAAGTGAAGCTTTATTAATATATTAGTATGCATGTATAAATATATTTAGTCCGGAGTTGCGTCGAATTACTGTAAATACAGTTTGTTTTAGAAAAAAACTATCTGAAATTTCGGAAAAATTTTAACCGGAGGAATTATTTTTACTAATATTATGCTGCAATGACAAATTTATAATTTAGTAAAATCAAAATAGAATATCTCCAAGAGTTACCAAAATATTTGAAAGTGATGTGAAAGCATTTTATTGAATAATAAACCTTTCATGCAAAAATAATTATTAAAGCATTTTGAAACGTTGCCTAATAAAAGAGGGAAATCCTTTTAAATAACTACATTATTTCAACTAGATTGCATAAAATGGTACTTAATTCAATCATATTTTGCAAAGGTCAAAATTTTAAGTATGATTAAGTTTAGGAATGATTAAAAATTTATTTTGGCTACATTAAACATTAGGATTGTATTCATAAACCGATTTTTGCAAGAATAGCGCATTTCTAGAAAAATATTCTAAATTCCTCATCGGAAATCGTCAAAAAATTACTTATAGTTAAAAAAATTACGCAATAAAATAAAATACATCCATAAAGAATGTATAAATTTAAATATATAGTTTAAATTTAGTTAAAACAATTTAGTTAAAAAATTGCGTTTTTTTTTAGTTAAATTTTGTCACCTTAGGAATAAAATTCATTTTAATTTTGTGAAAGCACTCTATTACTCCTGGTTTTATTCTTTAATTAATTATGGTGCAATAATATATGGCGGTGAATATAAAACTAATTTACTTCCCTNTTTTGTTTCAGTTACATTTTATCACCTTAGGAGTATAATTCGTTTCAATTTTATGAAAGCACTCTATTACTCCTGGTTTTATTTTTTAATTAATTATGGTGCAATAATGTATGGCGGTGAATATAAAACTAATTTACTTCCTTTAATCTCAGTTCAGAATAAATGCTTCAAGATTATTAATTCTCTAAATATAAATAATTCAAGTATAACTTCTGCCAATATATATACAAGAATTAATCTATTACCATTTCGCCATAATGTATTTTTTCGTATTTTACTTTACACTACAATAAACTAATATGCAAATTAAAAGCTAATGTGTCTGAAAGGAGACCAACTATAAAATATATGAGTTTCCCCATTTACAAAAGAAATTTCACGAAAACAGTTTTTTTACTTAGCACCTAAATTATATAATAAATTACCATTTCAGTTGCAAAATATCCAAATATATTCTTCTTTTAAGCTTGCTTTATTTCAATTTGTGATGAACATTGACGATTTAGATCTCTATTTTTTACTTTAAAAGAGGCATTTGATTTTTTATAAAAGTCTTGTGCCAATCCAGATGAATTTCTTATGTTACCTTTGTTATTTTTTTTACATGGTTTCATGTATTTTTTTTTTAATTTCTATTTTAAATTTATTGTATTACCTTTCTTTGTCGCCAGAACAGGATTTTCCTCTTGGCGACGAATTGTATTTATGTGTTTGTTTTTGTTCCCAATAAAGTTTTGTTTGATTGTTTGCTTAAAAAAAATTTTCTCAATCGGTGAAGATTTATAAGAGTTATCTGTCCAGCTAACTTGAAAAAAAATTTAACTTTCAGAAATCTGCTTTTAAATACTGCTAAATAGTTTTTTCGTTAAAAATAGGTGGGAATCTACAGGAAAGACTTTATTAGGAGTCTTTTTAAAATTTTCAGAGATTTAAAAATAAAGAATTACTGTAAAAATACATGCAAATATTCACAGGAAAATCAGTAATTTTACAGGTAAAATTATGTGAAGTAATGATATGAAGGTAAGTAATAATATTTAAATTATTTTCCAGCTCTTAGACATTAAGCCTTTTCTGGATCTGAGGCCAAAGGAGACATTAAATTCTCATATACAGATACCACTTAAACACAGTCAAAGAAAGTACAATACAATCGGACACTTAACTTTCATGAGGAATCGAACCTCAAACGAAGACGTGGTGGGTGAATACTCTACCCACCAAACTAAATGGGTGGCAGCGCACTTATGAAATAAATAAGAAAATCCCAAAGTGGCTTAATCCCTTTAAAATACTGCCATCACTATAGTTGTATGCACCACGAAAATAAAAAAACTGAAACAATTTAAAAACTGCTCCTTACTTTTAACTTTATTCTTTCCAGAAAAATATTGACTAAAACTTCGGTCTAAAAGAGCCAAAAAATTGTTGCATTCGTGAAAAAAATCAAGCAGTTCGCTTCTTCGTATCTTTCAACTTTTAAAGAGACCAAACTGCTCATAAGATGAAAATTATAACATTTTTAGTTTTCAAATATTTGTCTGAAATAAGTGGTTTTCACAGTAAAACCCATTAAGCAGAGTGTTCAAATTTTTCCGTTAAGTTTCCGCTAAGTTTTCCGTTTCAGTTAAATATTGAGTCAAAATAAAAAGTACTTACTGGCTGATATGTCTGCAACTGCTTGGTGGGTATTATCACTTTGGCTCACATCTTTAAAGGCTAAAGGAGGTGAAATGTTTATTTCATAATCCTCTGTTTGTACACTGTTCTCAATAAAATATGACTTATAAACAGAATCATCAGGAACTTGAACGGATATATTAGCAATATCTACATTACTATGTGGAACTTTATCATCACATTTATTGGAAATAGCCTCATACATTTGAGTTCCCCTCTCCACTTTTTCAACTGAAGTTTTAGCTAAGGATTTTTCCATTTCTTTCATTTCATCTTCTTCTTCAATCAAACGTTTTCGAAGAGCAAGTTCAACTATTTCCATTGTTTTAATTTGTTCTTCATATTTTTGAACAAGGGTATCTAAATATTTTACTTGCGAACGTAGCTCTTGTTCCTCTACTTCTTTCAAATTTAACTGTTCCAAACAGTTTTCTAAGGCTTGCTTTGTTTCACTAAGTTTTGCTTGAAAATGCGTGTCTTTTTCCTGGAGGAACAAAAGTTTTTCACCGAGTTTTTGAGATTGTAGTCTTGCATCGTTCTCTGCTTCTTCTAACTCAAGCACTTGCTCCTTGTATGTACAGTTCTCTTTCTTAACCTTATCAAGTTCGGCTTTCAAATTCGCTGATTCCTGATGAAGATTAAGAATAACGTCTTGCAGCTCCGCAATTTGCTTCTGATCATTTTGTATGGCAGACAATTTCAACAGTTCATTTTCTTTAGACTTCAAACTTTCGCGTAAATTACCGATGGCACACATGCAAATGTCTAAACTACTTTTTGAGTCATTAGGATCATTCCATTCGTTGACCTTGGAATGACCTTCTGAGTCTATTACAACAATTTGATTGGCTAATGAATGTGGAACTTTTGTGCTTAAGCCAGTTAAAGCTGGAATTGACTCGTGAATTTCAATAAAACTGCTTGGCCCAGTCGAATCACCTCGGCGACTTTCTTCTCCTAATCCTTCATCTTCACTAATATTTGGTCCCAAAGAATCATGAGAATCATTGCTTTTTGTACGTACAACATTGTGAACTGGAGTAATTGGTTCAGCATCTGTAGATTCTGGAGTGTTTAAGTCAATCAATAAGACATTATCATCGTCTTGCAGTGGATCAGATTGAGGTGGGGATGAATTCAGATAGTCTATTTCTTTTAAACAGTTGTCTAAAAGTGTTAATTGGTTTTGATGCAGATTTGTATCACATATATTTAATTCGGAATCCTCAGATTTATCTTCCTTTTCATCCAAAATTGCCAGACTACTTCTTTCCTGCTCTGCTCGTAGTCGTATTTCCTCCGATTCCGTAGCTGTCTTTTCCAAATCCTAGAAAAAAAATCATATTGAAATTGCACATTTTCATAAAAAAAAACATTCACTTTTCTAATTGCACTTAAGAGATCATTATACAAACACATGCACTGTAAAAAATAGATACTCAGATATCACGATACTTTCTTTGCTTTTGACCAAACCGTTCCCTGGTATATTTCCCGATCAAAAATTTCGTCGAAGTTACGAAATAACTATAGTCACTCAATTTTTTTTCCGAAAAAAAGGCACCTGGTAGTACCTAATGTTTCAAAATGTTCTAACTATCCCTTTATCATGGACTCCATACAGGTGAAACAATGTCTCCCCAACAACGCAAGAAGGATATATATAAGAAGAGAGATAAAATACACCCATGCCCGAAGCGGGATTCGAACCCGGAGTCATCACGGTACGAGGCCAACTCGTTGACCACCATACAGACCGATTGGTTTATTTCGTTGCTTTAATTGCGATTCTGTAGTGTTAATTCCAGTTTGGTCATTCCTGATAAATAAAAAATCTCCCACAATGCACTAAGATGAGATTTCGAATTGATGAAACATTTTTGTCATATATTTGAAGTTTCACCTTTCGTAACAAATCATGTGATTTCGTGAAATGAACTACGTGATCAACATTACCGGATTACTGGTCAAGAACTGCTGAATCATCAAAAGTGAGAGTTTTATTTCTGAGAGTGCGTTTCATACGTTTAAGTTCGAAAAATATTTAAATAAAATGAAAAATATTTAAAAATAAGGCAACAAAATCTTGAAAGGTGACATCATCAGCCTACTGTAAGAGTATTCTTGAGATGAATGGTGCTTTCCAAATATTGAAGCAAACTGTTCTTTGGTAACAAGCCGTCTCCTTGCTAAAGCTATAGTGACATATTACTACCTTCTTATTTACATTGGGTTAAGAAAAGTTGTTTAGTCTCTTTTTTCTTAACTTTTCACAGTCATATATTTAGGTTAAAAGTTGGTCAATGATATATGTTGTGTTTTGTTAGATGACCTTTTGTCATCATTCGGTGAACTTCATAATTATTCGTCAGTAAAAGGACCTGTTTTTATTTGTGAAAAACTGAACAGCCTCATGTGAATTTAACGTTGTTCCACGCAAGGAGTTCTGAAGAGAGTGAAACAAGTAAGAGTCTGATGACGTAAGGTCTAGTGAGTATGGTGGGTGGAGCAACACATCCTATCCAAGTTCCTATAGCATTTGACCAGTATTAAAATATGTATGTGGTCTAGCGCTGTCGTGATGGAACTCCACTACTTTACGATTAGTGAGCTCAGAAGGTTTTTGGATGACTGATTCGTTCAATTATCCAATTGCGCATAGTACACATCTGAATTGATTGCTCCGTTCCTTGGTTCAAACTCAAAAACCACCACATACTTTGATAAAGTTCTGGTTTTGAAGACGTTGATAGTGAATGTTCACCTCAGGACTAAAACCGTTTGCACACCATATTGTTGTAAACAACCCATTTCTCCTCACCAGTTATCATTCGTTTAAAAAAATAATCGTTTCATGATCATATTACAGATGTTTATTCGTCTCACCAAATGAACTTTGAATTCATGAGGTACCCGAATTTCGAACTTAATTACGTATCCCAGTTTCCCAGTGCGCAAAAAAGGATCACCCTGAATAAGATTTGATCAAATGATCGGATCTTCACGTTCTAGGAGTCAATCTTATGGCTGGAAGGGGTGACCTCAAATATGCTAATTAATAAGTGCAGACGATATTTGAAGTTACGAAATCAGACACAAAAACGAACTTTCTCAGAATAAATACATCTTCTTTTCTTCTTCTTTTTTTTTTTNTTTTTTTTTTTTTTTTTTTTTTTTTTTTTTTTTTTTTTTTTTTTTTTTTTTTTTTTGATGGATTCGGATTTTTGACTCCCAAAATATAGGGGGTAGCAGCAATCTGGGAAATATGGCCCCAATATTTTGGACAGGAGAAAGGAAACTTTTAAATTAAATCATAACTAAAAATCCGCATGTTTATTTCATCTTTTGTTTTCTTTATTTTTGTTTATTTCTTTTTTGTTACTTTCAACAGACTTGTTCATTTCATCTTTTTACTAAAACAGTTAAGGGATTTGATCAAATCACTTACTTTGTTTAAGAAAATCAAACCACGGAGTAGTTATTTTAAAGTATACGAACTGGGTGAAAATCTGCAAATTCATCTTAAATTTCGATTTTTTTTTTATTGTTCATATTTGAACTTTTGTTCATTAGCTTACCAAAACCTTTTAAATTTTTGAACTTCAATTTTTAGAACAGTTACAGTTTCTCTTTTTTTTTTGTCGAAACAGAAAGCAGATGTTAACTCCCGAAAAAGAAATTGAAATTATTTAGTTATGCTTTGTGTATTTTAATAATTTTTATTTGAATAAATTATTTAAGACATATAAAATTCATTTTCAGAAATTAATTTTCGAAATAATAATATTTTTGTTGTCAGGATTTTCTAAAATTTCAGAATTTTCTTGCATTTTCTGAGTGTTGTTGATTTTAAGAAAATTTCTTTATGCTAACACACACGTCAAAATAAATTTATAATATAATTCTTTGATATTTTGTATATTATTAGTGATGTTATGATTTATGAAATAAAAGCTAACGTCCAAGTTTGAATTTGCTATTTTTATCAAACTTTTAAGTAAGAATATTTATAAATTTTCTTTAATATTAAACAATCAATATTAAACAATATATTTAATTTCATTTTATTGTCTTTTTAAAATTTTTTAAAATTTTGGTTCAAAATACAAGTAATTACATTTTTGATCTATAAAAAAAAATTGAAATATATTACAATTTGTTGAAGAACTGTTTGCGTGACATAAATTTTTTTTAATTTATCTGCTTTTTTTTTAAAACTATTTTATAAATTCTTAAACTTTACTTTGAATTTACTATTAATTTTAAGACTCCTGCTTTCCAAACAATAAATTAAAATTTTAATTCAGCATTTTTTTTTAAAAAATATAGTGTTGAAACCAATCGGATATCTTAATATAAACTTCCAAAAATTTATAATCTTGAGGATTTGATCAAATTTCCATCCTCATCATTTCCCTGCGACGTAAGCATGCCCTCGATAGGATTCCAAGGTTAAACCTTAAATATGCTAATTAATTATTGTATCAGATATAATAAGCTTCAAATGTTGCAGGGACTGAAAAAATAGAATTGTCATCTATGAAACTTTTTGCCATTTAAATATTTTTAGATCTACTCCTCGAATCATTAAGATAATATTTCAGTAAATGAAAATCTAATCAATAGATATACCCAGATATACCCAGATTTAGAGATATACCCAGTGTATCTGTATAGACGAATTATTATCTAAAATTGAGTTACAAGAGTCTTGAATACTTAATAGTTCTGAATACGTATAATTCTAAATAAGAATTTTGAATTTTTCTGAATCTTAAAAATTCAGAATTATTCTGAATCTTAAGAACTTGGAATTATTCTTAATCTTAAGAATTTGGAATTATTCTATTCTACTTCTTTTTGCACACTATATAGAGATGAGTTATTGCCATTAGAGCTGAATTAATAACAAAAGTGCTTAATCAACACCTCCTAAAAGAGAGAAGGCCTCCGCACGGTTCAATTTAGTAATCAGATGTACCTGAATCTGCGCAGGAAAATAAGAAAGATTGAGCAATGTACGGGCTGCTATGGATCGGATTTCTTGTTTATGGTAACCTGTGCGAAGGGCTTCTCTCTTCTAGGTGGTATTATTTTAATATTTAGTGTCTCTGAATGCGTATAATTCTGAATAATCAAAAATTCTGAAATTAAAGTTAGAATAATTTTGAAATTACCTTTTGTATTCGTTCAAGCTGCTGTAGTTTTTGGAATATAACTTGACTATCCGCTTTTGCTTCTTTTTCCTCTGCAGTCCATTCCATTAAAGATTTTAATTCATTGACAGTTGCTATCACATAATCCATTCCAACACCTAGTTTACAGTTACATTTCAGAACACTATCCAACTGCTCTGTCAGATTTGAAAGTTTCTGAAACACGGAATTAAATATACTTCAAAAATTAATCATGATTTCATTCAAATTAAGAGTAAATAAAATTAATCAAAATTTAGGAAGCGAACTTAATTTTACCATAATTTGGTAAACAAGAATAATTTAAATAAAAGCACTGGGACCAAAATAAGTGTAAAATAGCTTTGGCCGAACGCGATTTCATGTAAGTATAAAAAACAAAAATAGTAAGATATCATTAAGGATTGTAAAGGGTGCCAATTTAAACCCATATCCACCCTATTAATTTTCAAAAACTGCAGTTGTATTTAGTGTGTCTAGATATAGCAAAGTTGCTATATACAAGACAAGATTGCTTACGCGCTGTAATTTATTCGTTTCTAATATCACGAAAGTTCTCCAAAGTTTTCTACCAATTGGTATTGAAAGCGATCTCATATTTTTAGTGTTGAGTCACTTTCTCATTATTTCCTTTAAACAGGGTTAGTGATGACGTCGATCGTTATCCCTTTCGTTGGCGTGTTCCAAACATTGTCTTGAGAGCTACGGTGGCTCAAGGGTTAGAGCACTCGCCTCCTAATGAGGTGACACAGGTTCGAACCCAGCGTTGGCTGGTCGATCCTGAATTCTGTTCCCGACTCACATCGACCACAGTGATGACATAAAATATCCTCAGGGATGGACTGATCATAGGTTAAAATTCCCTTGCCATCGCGTTAACCGTGGAAGATTTTCGTGGTTTTTATCTCCATGTAACACAAATTTGTGTAAGTTTCATCGAAAAATCCTCCACAAAGGATAATTTGTACCAATTTTTGATCCAGGAATTCCCTTGTCTTTTGGGTTGGGTTCAAAATTACAAGGCTATGGATAAGAATATTGATAGACGCAAACTCAGTTTTGGATCAGCTATATAAAGTCAGTTATAAAATAAAATAAAACATTGTCTTGAACTGTATCACGTTTATAATATATATAATAATATATAATAATAGCTATATAATAATAGCTGCAACTATTTGAAAACTAAAGGAGTGGGTATGGACTTAATTTGTACGGACTTAACTTCTGTTGATATGATATTTTAATGTATTAATTGAAAGTTTGTTTAATGTGTTAATGAAATTGAATTATTGATTATGTATTACTAAAATTTCTGAGCTTATAGTTATCTTCACTAAAACATATACATCTCAGTTGGCAAAACCCTCACCTAAAAATTATTATTGACATGGTTTTTTTTTTTTTAATTTAAGCTAAAAACTAAGTGAAGTTTCTTACATCTTGCGTTTCCTCCAGTTGTAGCCGGTAATTATCGGACTCCATTTCTGCTTTTAAAACTTGTTCTTTCAAGAAACTTGGATCTTCATTAGTCTGAAAATAAAAGAAAAATAATACTCACTAAATATTTATTCACTCATTATTATTTTTAGATAAAGGGCTCCATTATCAAAGTAGTTTTTTACTAAAACTTAAACTTTTTCAGAAACGATGATTTTTAAATCTTTTTGAGAAGATGGAAAGAAAATAACTCAATATGACTTTGTTAATCGAATCTATTCAGAAAATTCTTTACTTAGACGGTATGTATGTATGCATGCATGTAAGTATGTATGCATGTATGCACGTATGTATGTATGTATGTATGTATGTATGTATGTATGTATGTATGTATGTATGTATGCATATATGTATGTATGTATGTATGGATGGATGGATGGATTCTAAATGTATGCATGCATGGACAGAAGCATGCATGGATAGAGGGATACACAAATGCATACATGCATCCATGGATAGTAAATGTATGCATGCATGGATAGAAGCATGCATGCATAGATAAAGGGATAGATAGATGCATGCATGCATAGATAATGGGATAGATAAATGCATGCTTGCATGTACATGTGTGTGCGCGTGAATGGGTGGGTGTATGTAAGTTATTTCTAGGCAAATGCTAATTTAAAATTTTATATTTTTACATTTTTTTAGATTCAAAGGTATTTTATTTCAAATTATATTTTATGGAATAACATAACAGTTAAAGAAATAAAATTTAAATGACATATATTAAAGCTTAGATTACAAAATTTTGAAATTGTGCAAAAGCATTTCAAGAAAAGAGTTAGACATCATTAATTCCCACGCAAACTCGCATATTCATAAACGTCTTTTTTCCAGAAGGTTCTCTAGTAAATGTTCATGAACTAGAAACTAGAAAAATATTACAAATAATGCATAAAATTCATTATCATATTTTTTTATTTAACTTTACATTAATTTACCTTAAATTAACATTTCATGTCTACTTATAGATTTGGAAGTGTTTGTGCAAAATGACAGTTTTGGAACAGTTCGAAGCATAGTAGCGATGAACACAACATAGAGTTTAATATTTTTTTATCTTTTAAAATACAGTATATGGACAAAAATCCCCCAACACCCTAAGTTTATGACAATATTTCAAATTTCTAAAGAATAATACAGAATGATTATTCTATGCGTATGATAAGAATTATTATTCTATATGTATCATAAAATCAAGTGATTACTCATAATTTTCAAAAAGGTTTATCCAGGAGAGGCTAAAGAGAATAGAAGGGCTAGTTCACTCCTTTGAAGAAACTCTCCCCGCGCCAAACCTCCGATTTTTGCCTGTGACGTCACGGTGGCGCAAAACTTGAGCTTTTACTTCAAGAACGAAGCGTTCGGTCTAACTAGCTTTGACTAATATTGGAGCATTCCTTTTTGTGACATATTCCAAGACTTTCTATGTTTCTTTTAATGATTTTTCTCAGTTTTGTGAAGTTAATTACAAAAATTTAAAATTATTTATGAAATGCCAGTTTGTGCGATTGCAACTTACAAAAATTCTGATAGAAACACAAAAGGCAAAAATATAATTTTCCACCTGTTCCCTAAAGTAAATGAACAACTATGTAAAGAATGGCTTCAACGTTGCAAACGAAATGAAATGACCCAGTTAATATTAAATATGAACGAATATGCAGTAAGCATTTCTTAAAACAAAATTATGAAGATATGCGAAATCGTTTGCTTAGATTGCTGATTAGAATGATTTTAAAATTGCTCTAACTCTACCAAGTGCTCTCTTATCTAAGGGAGAACTAATTGTTCCACTAGCAGAATGGATGGAAGTGTGTCAGGAATTTGAGAATGTTTTTTAACTTGTGCATGGGACAGAAAATAAAGCGTCATCAAAGAATTTATAAGTGAATTAGAGGGACGATATCCCGCAGTGAATAAAACAGCAATATTCTCATTTTAAATTTCAGAAATTTTATAAGAATTCGCCATCTAAATTGAAACCGCCCAGCTACTTCAAAAAAAAAGGCAGACGAAAGAATTAAAAAATGCGTAAGTCAAACAAAATAAAAACTTATATGAAAAGTATAGATAATTAATAGTTAAAATTCTCCTAGTTTCATAACGTAGGTTTCACTGTAGTTATTCTGAATATTTGTTATTTTTTTAATTATAATATAATTATTTTTTAATGTAATTATATTATTTTAAATTTAAATATCTATAAACAATTGTAAAATTTATAATATTTTTATGGACCTAAATTATTATTTTGTTGGAATAATTAGCTTTTAAGGTTGTTGTTTCCTAATGATTAAGTGTAAACAAATTTCCATTAACAGCATATTTTAAAATCAAGATTCTAAATTTAACCTAACTTTAAAAATTATTGTTATTGAACAATATGTAGCTAAAAAATTGTCGATACATGCACTAAATTTTTTTTAATAATAAAAGTTAAAACTGAAAATTTTAAATAAAGTTTTTATAGCGTCATTTATGATAACTAATAAAATATTTTTATTAGTTTAAAATGGTATTTAACATTTTGCCCAAGAAAATTTTTGAGAACTATGTTTTTGAAAGGAAATGATATATTAATTGCATAAGGTTTGAAAGCTAATATCAAGAAAAAATCGAACTTTACAGAGAAAATGATACTAAGTTTTCATAATATCTTTGCTTGCGATCTCCGAGATCTGTGTGCAGCGTGACGTCATGAGGAGGGAAATCGTAGCTTCAGCTCTAAGAGCGGAATGAACTAGCCCTTCTATTCTCTTTAGCCCTGGTTCAATGCACCAATACAATAAGAATATTACAAATGTGCAAACACACAATAAAAGCATAAATAAAAATTTTAAAAATATTTTCTTCAGTTCCCTGTACTCGGAAATTTAAAATAAATCAGTAATTTTTTCATAAGTTACTATTTATTGTATGTAATATAAAATTAACAATGTGAAAAATAAAAAACGTAACAAGTTAAATATCTTTTGACCTAGTAATAAAGTTTTTACGTACTAAAACGCAATATTTGTAGTTTAAGGTGTTCACTTAACCCCATATATTAAAAATGGCGCTTAAAAATGGAATTTGGTGGTAAGAATAGAAATGATGATTTTAAGTTTACATTTTTATGAGATAAACTCAAATCTGACCATCGACTCTGTAACAGCCTGTCCGCAATTAAAACTATATGACGTAATGATTGCATTGCAAAATATTGAGAGCAAAGAAAACAAGCACTCTAAAGTATTTGCAAGTAAAGCTAACTGACTAGGAAGCGATGTTTCCATTAATACTGCCGTCATTTATTAAAGTATGATTCATATAATGCAACTCCCATTTAAAATAATTTTAAAAAATATGTTGAAGTAAATGAAAAGATAATAAAAGAATAATACTTTTTTTCGAGCAAAATATACATAGTAGTAGATTAATAGCGCTAACATTTTATTTTAATTCAATTCTTTTATAGGATTCCGAATTACAATATACCGAATAATCACATCAGCCCAGTATTCCATATGTAATCTTAAAGATTACATTATTATATTATTTGATTAGTAGTTTGGTTGTAGAATAGTAGTTCTTACCTTGTATTTTAATTCAATTCTTTTATGAGATTCCAAATTACAAGTTACCAAATAATCATGGCAGCTCGGTATTCCATATATAATCTTGGAGACAGCATTATTGTATTATTTGAAGTCAGGATACCACATTTTATCACAAGCATAGTAGTAGTATTTGGTATTGAGATTCATTTTAAAATAGGCTAGTAAACTATCACTCATTCTTAAGCAAGAATATTTTCCTCCTCGCAATAAAACTTTTTAAACATTGCAATAAAACTTGTCAATCATAATATTTCACCACTTTATTTCTCATAATAATCACGACAACTGATTCATCTACAGCCAACTTCATGGCTCATGGCATTTCACAGTAGTAGATTAGTAGTTCCAACATTTTATTTTAATTTAATTCTTTTATGAGATTCAAAAATTTCTAGTAACATTCATTGAAAGCGTTCTTGGCGAAGTTTTCTTGGCAAGCTTCGATTCATTTTTTTTTTCTGTTTACCATCTCCTGCTATAAACTTCCTAATGGGACAGCTGAACTAATTAACGGCGTACAAAGCAAAACGGCAACATCAAATCATAAAAAAAGGATATCTGAGTGCGAGCTTTTATGGGGAATGACAATTCTTGTCTGAGTACAAAATAATGCAGAAGATTGTCTGTCTTGCTTTGTCAAATGATGTTTTTTCTTGCATCCCTTCAAAAAAATTTATCATTCTTTAAGCAATTCTCAAGAATGCTAAAGAAAAATATGAGCTAGTTTAGCTACCAAAATAGAGTTAAATACAACACAGCATTCTTTCGGCAGATGTCACTTTCCATTGCACTTTTGTTAAAGAATAATTTTATTAGTTTTTAAATTGAAAAGTTGCCATCTTTTAGAAGGTTTTTGAAGACAAATTAAACAAAATATGCACAGTGTGACAAGAAACCACTTGCAAATACAAAACAAAATTTCAATGGTTGTTAGAATGTAAAATCCAAACTTTAAAATTAACTTGGAAATATTAATAGCTATAGCGTATTTACTTGATTTCAAGGCTACCACTTTTAGCCTTGAAGCAGAGCTGTAAGCTCATGACAAGTGACGAAAAAAAAACTTTTGGCACATATACCACAAAATTTTAATGCTTGTAAAATTATCAAACCTAAACTTTGAAATCAACATGAAAATATATCATATTTACTTGTTTTCAATTTAATCATCTTTAGCTTTGAATGATAGTTTTGATTATTAATTTTGATTCGCCTTCAACGATTTTTATGATATAGAAGCCAAAATTTAAAATCAAACTGAAATCATTATTACCTATGAATATTTACTTATTTTCAAAGTCCCCTCTTTTAGGTTTGAAGCAGAGCTATAAGCTCATGACGAAAAAAAAATTTTTGACGCATATATCACTAAATTTTAAGGCTTGTTAAAATATCAAACACAAATTTTAAAATCAACATGAAGAGGTAGAATATAACTTGTTTTCAAAATTATCATCTTTAGCTTTGAAGCATAGCTAAAAGTTCATGACAAGTAACCAGAAAAAACTTTGGCGCATATAACACAAAGTTTTCAGGCTTGTTAAAATATAACATGGTAATCCTTTGGTAATAATTTTAGTAAAATATCAAAAACTATGATTTTATAATATATGACAAAATTTGGTAAATGTGGTAATTTTATCGTGATACTTTAGAGCATGGCATAAAAACCAATTATTCGGTTAAATTTAAGTTTCAGTTTTGTATTCTTTTTCTCAATATGTGGTAATAAGAACTATAATATTGAAAACCAGAATTTCCGTTAAACCGTTACCAAATGAATGGTTTAAATAACGTATATATTAATCAAATACATATTTTATTTACCAGAAATGTCATTACCATATTGTACGGTAATTCTATAAGAATTCTATACTAGAAGTATTCATTAAAAACTTTGAACCCACAGACCCGTATGCTTAAATTAATTTAATTAATGGCGTGTGTATGATAAAGAGTTTAAGAAATATGTAACACAGCCAAAGACAGTTTCAGACATTACAATTAGGCATACAAATAATTGTTTTTTAATAAAACTAGAAGCTTATCATTAACAGTTTATAATTTAAAAAAAGTAAGTAATCATATGAAAATATGATACTTAAAAAAATCTTAAAAAAATATTTAAAATGTGAAAGAAACACTTACATTTATGGTATTCTTGATTGCATATGTAAAAGGATAGGGGATGCTTCTTTCCCATCTTTTTTTATCCCAATTTTCAGTATTTACAGCTTTGTCAACATGGTTTTCATTCCCGCATACCTGCATTATAAAAACAGTAATTAATTAAAAAAACAGTAACATTACTAAAAAGAATCAGATAAAATACAAAATTCAGTAATTCAATATGCGAATAAATTTGAATCGAGTCATTTATACGACTATAAAAATTTAAAAAAAATAATTAAAAATATGCAATTACCTTTAATAAATATTAAGAGTTACGATGAATATATTAAAAACAATAAACCAACTTTTGAAATTTGTCAATGAATATTCACTATGTCTTTAATTACTTTTCACGCGAAAGTGTGAAACGCAACTCTTTACTAACACCCACACGTTCTATTTTAGGAAGAACAGACTTAATTTAACTATTAGAATCAATTGTCTGACCTCATATCTTACATGAATGCAAAAGTGGTTATCTTTCTTATGCGAATTTCACGCTTGTTATTTAATTTACTTTAACTACGCTTCATTTCAAATTTCGTACTCAATATTGAATCTTATTAAATATTTTATTATTAAATTAACGCATAAAATGCATTAATACATAAATATGTACTTTGTGTTATATTTATTCTTATGTTTTAGTCTGCAAATTAAATAATCGAAACATAATGCACAATTTTTATCTAATGATTTGAATTTAATGTACAGTATGGCAACCTGATGAGTTCAAAGACAACACAATAAATATGATTATTAAAATAATAAAGTTTCATTGTATCTGATATTTTATTTTATCTGGTATTTTATAGTAAGAAATATTGCACAAAAGTGTGCATTGCGCAAAAAAAGTACTTACTACCATGAATAACTTTTTATCTAATGATCAAAGATTTCGGTTCTAGGACTAAAGCTTAATGATTCGATGGCATGACCTCAAGTTGGCTAATTAATTAGTGCAGACTATATTTTAAGTTACGAAATAATAAAAACGTACTTGTTATGAATAAATATACTTGTTTCTCAGTGGATTCGGATTTTTAACCCGTAAAACAATACAGAGGCGGATATAGACATTTTTCCTGGGGGGGGGNTTTCCTGAGGGGGGGGGGTCATAGACTCAGATCCCCTCACACACAATAAATTTTTTTTATAAAAAAAAATTTTTGTTCAATATTTTCTTTGAAAAAAAACTGGGGTTTTTAATGCTAGTCTTCTCATTTATTTATTTCATAATGAACAATAGAACATTACATAAATAATTCAAGTATTAATAATTCAAGCATGGCGCCAGACTTTAGTTACGAATTTCGCAAGTTTCCCATCTTCACCTTTATACAATCTTTGGTTAAACCTGTTGAAGCGCACTTGGAGCGCTCGGCGCGCTTCAACATTATTAATGTTTACAATGAAACTATGACGAATTTCGTTTTAATCTTTTGGATTATGATTCTTGAAACAGTAAAGAACATAATTAGATGGAAAAAAATCGATTTTTCCGACCTACGTAGGTGTATATGCCCCCTTAAATAATTTTTAAAATATTTTATTTATTTTGTAAACTATTAAAAAATTATTATTTTTATTTTTTTTTCAATTTTGGGGGGGGGGGTCATGACCCCTATGACTCTCCGCTGGATCCGCCTTTGAAACTATAGGGTAGGTATTGGTGAACCAATGGCACGCGTGCCATAAATGGCACGCTACACAATATTCTGGGCACGCCACCGATCACAAATTTCACTATGAAGCATATTAACAATTAAAATAAAGTTCACAAAAAAAAATAAAAAAAACAATTAATAACCACAAAAAACGAGCTAACAATAAATAACGAGCAAAAAAAAAAATAATAATAGTCCTGCTTAAACTACCATCTTACAACCTAATATAAGCTAGTTAAAAAAACAATTAATAACCATACAAAACAAGCTAACAATAAATAAGGAGCAAAAAAAGAAAAAAATTAATGGTCCTGCTTAAACTAACATCTTACAACCTAATATAAGTTATTTGTCATCGAATCTGCAACAGCAGAAGTCACACTGATGTTACTTAAAGTTGAATTAAGCGTATAATTGAGACATTGCAAAATGTATTTTTTCTTCATAGTAAATAAAGAGTTTTGAGTCGATACTATTTAGTATTATTATTTACGCAATAATCACGAAGTCAAAACTATTTGTCGGCACGTCTATGACCTCATTAAAAAATGTTTTAGAAAAAATGGCACGTTGGTACATAAAGGTTCGTCACCCCTGCTATAGGGGATATCGGCAATCTAGGAAATATGGTACGAATAGTTTGGTCAGAAAAGCTGCCCATAGATTGAATCCCTTAATGTTAATTTTACTTTTTGAGTATTTCACCTCACCTCAAAGTTTTTAAGCGAATTAAAAAACATTTTCTCGGCAATCATAGAATTCGTTTCTCCAAGGATAATTACAAGCAAAAAATAACTTTCAGTAAATATTTATTATGTTTTTATTATTTCGGTCGAAAAATTTTGAATAAATAGACGAAATAATTTAAATAGACATAAAATTTTTAAATTTTAAGCTATACAATTTTTACGTTATTTTAAAGAATACAATTTTGCATTGTAAAGTAGAAAAGTAAAAAAATTTATTCAAGATCACTGCATGAAATTTGGTGTATAAATATTTCAATTTTTATTCATGAAACAGGACTTGTATGACCGAATGTGTAACGGTCAGAGAACTGGCCCTGCATCAGAAAGGTTTTGGGTTCGAATCTCGGGAAAGGCATGGGTGTTCTTTCATTATCTGTACTATTTGTCCTTACTGTGGAAGCAACGTTGGCCCACCTAATATGGTGACCCAGAAAGAGGGGCTAACATATTTGTCTCGAAAAAGTCTGAATTGACGAAATATTAATACAGCATTGGAAATAAAATAAAACAAATATTTTAATTAAATTACTTCATTCAAAAAAATTTTTATTCTGTTTCGCAATTATTCTAAAAGTCTTAATAAAAAATGAAAAATAAATCATAGTTATAGAAAAAATAATGGGAAAAATGTCGAATATGAAATTTATTATAAGCAATTAAAGAATTCATTTTTTAAAAATAAAATTATATTGAACATAGTATTCAGTTCATGAAATCAGTTTTCTAAATGTTTCGAATGATTCTGGTTTTTTAAATGTCCTGTAGGAGGTTTGTGATCTTTTTCTGTATATCTTTCACATGGTATAATACCTCATATAATTTCAAAAATATACGCTACTTTAAAAAAAAATCAAATGTCTTCCCCGAACTTCCTTAGCCGATAAATGATTTAAAAAAAAGGTGGGCGTTCCAATAAACTAAACGTGTAGGTTTTGCGTGAGTTTCAGCAACAATTTATAAGAATTTTTTAAAGACCTAACAGCAAAGAAAATAAAAGGGCCACAATTTTGTTGCCAAAAACTCAAAACAAAGGTATAATTTTAAACCACAAATATATACACTATTATACTGAGAAGAATTGACTGGACTTCAAGATTGAAAACATTTATAATATTAAAGGAAAGAAATTACTCTTATTTTTAAAACTCGCCAATTTAGCGAGATTTTTCTACATAGATGGAAATCACTATTTTTCGAAGCTTTGCGCCAAGGAAAATTGAAAAGCATAGTTTAAGTGTGTTACATCTGAAGCAATGTGATGATTTTAAACTATATATATAATCTTGCCATGAAGAATTATCTGGGCTTTAGAACAGATAAATAACTTGAATATTTTAAAAGTTATTAAACATTTTTTAAAATCGCCTATTTGGCGACATTTTTCCACCTAGATGAAAATTATCAAAATCACTGCCTTATTCTCCGTTTTTGCAAATTTTTATGAGCCCAGGTAATGCAGCAAAACGCATCATATGCAAAAACGCATCATTTCATATAGCGACGATTCTTTCGAAAAAAAAGCCTTAAAATTGATAAATAATTCTTTATTCTTGCATATTTTATGATAGCACTGGCAAGAGGTAGACTAAAATTAAGCTAACAGTTATGAATAACTGTTATAAACTCATACTAGTAATAAAAAAATTGCAAATTACTTCCTAATAAACATAATTTCCTTTGACAAACGAGCCTTCAAAGAACACCCTTAAATGAATTACTCAAAATAGCTGTGCGGTTATTTGTTGACCACATTTTTTGGCAATTTCTCCTAGACTCATATAAAAACGTCCAATTTTCTTAGACAATTCGGGTCACCGAAGAACTTTTGCAATCACTTGATGTAAAGACACACACTCATAAAACTGTAATTAAATAAAACTAAAAAAACCAATACTTCATAAAACCATCTTTTACATTTTTGGCTTAAACTAATTTTCATATCTCCTTCCATCAGCTTCGAGATGGTTCTCTTTAGAAAGAAAAGATAACGAACGTTAATTCTTTTCAATTCAATTTGATGTATGTCCTAGGTTGTAAGGTACAGCTACAATTATTTTAAGAAGATCATCATTCAAATGAAGGTTACGAACTTGGCTAATTTCCTTCAACTGTAATGATTCTACTTTATTCTTCTCTACTTTACCACTTTTTCTCAAGTCTGAAGCAATTCTTTGTTTTAAACTGTCTTCATGTGATATTAAATTGTAGAAAAACTTTATATTTATAATTTTATAAGAAACGGATAAGGATATCTTTTAGATTGTTCATAACATGGCTGTGATTTATTACACAAATTTTATCCTGATATATCTATTTTATTTGCTAACATTAACACTTACATTGTTAAAATCATCATTTTGAAATTACGGTAAAATAACCGACAGTAGTCTGTCCATATAATTAACCATAGTGTTTAAGTTTAGGAACATTTCCTTACCATTACGGTATTGAAACCGTTTACTGCTGGCGCAGTTAAAAATACGTTAGTAAATAATACAAAACTACATGGTTTTGTAACCATTTACAACTAACATAGTTTCTAAACTATAAAATTAAAACTTAAACGGACATAAGAGCTCTGTGGGTGCTGCATCTTTATGCAAAAATGATAGTTTCGTATTCTTATAGTCTAGTGTCACCAATTGAAGAGTGCAGGACGCAAAAAATTTTCATGAAA